GATTTAACTGTAAAGTTACAGTTATATCCCGATTACTGTAACTTAACAGTTTTGTGCTGTACAATTTCAAAGCAAATTTAGGTCACACAAAAATGAAAATTCTGTCTTGATTTTCTCACCCCCAGGTTGCTCCAGCTCTGTTAAAAAATATTTTTTTTTTTTGTTAAACACAGGAATAAAGTTATTAAATATTCTTCTTTGTGTCCAAACAACCTGAGAATGCGTAAATGATGACAGAATCTTCATTTTTGGGTGATCTGAGAAGACTCTAAAATCAAACCGATTCCTTTTTGTATAATATTGTAAGACGCAAACATATAATTCATTGATATTCCATCATACTGCTCGGTAACACGCAATTTATACACTAGTTGTACACCAATTGCATGTTGATGAGTATCAGTTTATGAACACGTCTGATAAAATAACTGAATCTGATTCAACGTTACCCGAGTCCTGAACCGAAGCAGTGCGAATGTGATATATTGATTACAATATAGTAATTGTTTTTTCTTTGCCATTCATAATATTACATATCTCTGACTTTAACAGTACAAATAAAATTCGTTTGGAGTGTTTTTAGAATTATTATTTTTTTCTCCCAGCATTCATTTCGCACCAAGCTGAAGCAAGATGTAATGGTGGAAGAGAAAAGGCACATAATATTAAAAATATTGCTTTTAATAGGTCATGAAATTAAGTTTTAACAGTTTTTCATGCGAGAATGTAGTTTTTTAAAACTCAAATCTGTGGTTTGTTTGAAAAGATTGTGTGTAATTTTAAGTGCGTTTTGCCGATAGCGGAGATCTATGACCTCCAGGCGTTGACGGCACTAATTACTCATGTATTCGGCGAGAGGTGCCTGTCTTCAGGCTAAACATTGTGCCATTTGCCCCGGCTTCGATGGATCAATATATGTCAGGAAATGAAGTTTTAACCTTTTTCATGCGAGAATGTAGTTGTTTAAAATCTAATCTGTGGTTTATTTATACAGATAGTGCACAATTTAAAATATATATATTTTTTTTTTAATTTTAAGATTAGTGAACTCCAGGCAATGACTGGTGCCCAATACTCATGAATCCTTCTAAAGCAGACATTTACCCTGACATTGAAATAACTTTGACTGTTTACCAGTCTTTGGTTTCATTTAATTCTTTTATTCCAGTTTATTATGTTTTAGCTAAGCACAAATTTATGTTCAATAAATATTATTTCATATTTCCATGTTAACCTTATAAAATTAAATAAAGGTTCAGTAGCTACAACCAAAAAGATGTTGATAACCAAATTGTTTTTGGGGCTGCAATAACATGCTGTTATTTCTAAATATTCAAAAAGTGCCAATACTAGCATAAAGGTTAATTTGTATTAATTTCTATGTTGAATAAAAAAAAAAAGTTTGAATATCTATAACTAACATGCAAAAGATATGGCCTTTTTTACAGTAGTTTGCTGTAATCATGCTACCTGCCTTAATTTCACAATAAAATTATGAATACAACATATTACTGTGAATTTTTACAATTAAATACTGTGAAGCGATACTAATGTTATTTACTGTGAAAAAATACAGTAATTTGTTGTGAAAATCTGGAATTTTTTTTAGTGTATTTGACAGCAACAGCGTTTCTCTGAGCAAGTTTAAGTTAGCTTCTCTGCTTCTCAGCTTCTCACCTCTACTTCTGTACATGTCATAAACTTTTTTTTTTATTTCAGTATAAATTTTGTAAAAAATTCAAACAGAAAGTCCTGTGTTAAAGATGATCTCTCTTTCTCTCTCTCTCACTGTAAAAATGCAGATAATGAGTTGGAATATCCTCTCATCATCGTGTTTCCATCCATTGCATACCATTGCCACCATCTCTTAACAGTCTTTTTTAAAGAGTGATGTAAGAAGAGGTTATTTTATTTTTTATTCACATGTTTTTTTCAACAACATTTTTTTTGCAATTTAAATCGTCAATAATTAATGTATAATATATATAAACATGATTTCTTACAGCTAAAATCTCCAGTTTTACTCCATAACTCATGTTTTTTTTTGTTTTTTTTGCATTTGTTCTCTTCAATACACAACATAAAACATGATCCATATAAAAAAAATGGAGTAATCAGTTTAGCAGTCGCACTCCATATACATCTTGCTGCTGCTGTGTAAAGGGAGCCTGGAGGTTTTGATCAGTAATAGATTGGTGTTATTAAATATTTGTGTCTCATATACTGTATTGTGCCACTGACATCTTTAGGCAGACATCTTTGCTCTCATTAATTCAGAGCCCCTGCAGATCAACTACTGGCATTTAAAACAAATTGCAACAAATATAAAAAACTTTGGATGATTGCTTTGTTATTTACCAATTTTGCATTATGCAGGTTTAATAAGCCACGCACTGGTGCAGTGTTTTGAAGTATTGAAACATCTTTAACATATTGCAAAACATGCATTTGCTTCAAGGCAATTGAGGAAATAGACTATGTAGAATTTTAATTGCATTAATACTTCAGATATGGACTGGTGTCTACTCTTTACTTCAAATTAAGCTGTTTAGTATGAATGTATTTTATTCTTATTGTTGTCTTATATATAATTTATCATATTTTATTTACTTTATTTTATGATAAGGTCTGATGACATGAACTTTCCTTTTTGAATTAATAATTAAGCTATAATTTAGCTATAATAATTGTCATTGAGAATTGTTTGTTTTAGCATTATTTTTTTTTCTTTCTCTTTGTGAATTGTATTGTGCAGCACATTGGTCAACCTTTGGTTGTGTTTAATAGTAGGATATAATTTTATTATATTTTTTTACATTGACATTGACAATAAAGTCTACATAAAGAAACAAACAAAATATAAGAGATGAAAGGATCTTATGTTAAAAAAAGTGCAGTAAAACAATGTCAGTGAAAGAACAGAGGACAAATGACTCCATAAGTCTAAAACAAAATTCAGGGCGTCTCCTATTTGAATTCCATGATAAAGCCTTGACCCTCTTCATATTGATAAGGTCTTTCTAGTCTGATGAAAAATATTTTATTGCACTTGTTTTGCTCTGTGTTTAAACGGAGAAAGCACAAGCTTTGTGTAGAGGCGATTCTCTGAGGAGCGGTGATTGAGTCTACACGGTTCTCATGTGGTAGTTAAGTTCACAGCGCCGCCCTGCAGAGCTTCATTATTCACTGCTAGTTGTAGGTGAAGGTTCCTCCTCTGAGAAATGGCTGAAACTGCTCCAGCACCCGCTGCCTCACCGGCGAAAGCTCCCAAGAAGAAAGCGGCGTCCAAGCCCAAGAAAGCGGGCCCAAATGTTCGCGACCTCATCGTCAAGACTGTGACCGCATCCAAGGAGAGAAACGGCGTGTCTCTCGCAGCCCTGAAGAAGGCTCTCTCCGCCGGCGGATATGATGTGGAGAAGAACAACTCCCGCGTCAAAACCGCCGTCAAGGCATTGGTAACCAACGGCACTCTGGCCCAGACCAAAGGCACAGGCGCCTCCGGTTCATTCAAGCTCAACAAGAAGCAAGCCGAGCCCAAGAAGGCAGCCAAGAAAACCGCCGCGAAGGCCAAGAAACCCGCCGCTAAGAAATCTCCCAAGAAGGTGAAGAAACCGGCAGCCACATCTGTGAAAAAGGCGACAAAGAGCCCCAAGAAAGCCAAGAAGCCAGCAGCTGCCAAGAAGGCGACCAAGAAGGCAAAGAAACCAGCAGCTGCTAAGAAAGCAGCAAAGAGCCCCAAGAAGGTGAAGGCAGTCAAGCCCAAAACGGCCAAACCTAAGGCGGCCAAGCCTAAAAAGGCGGCTCCCAAGAAGTAATCGGCACCAAGCTCGTTTCTTCCAAAAATCAAACGGCTCTTTTAAGAGCCACCAACTAGTCCAAACTAAAGAGCTTTATTTTGGTGGATGAATCGAAAAGAAAGTGTATACACAGCAGTATTCTTATTTAATCACACTTAATAGCAACAAACACTTTAGCCTGTTTGGGTTGTTACTGTTGGTTAAAAATGATAATTGAATAATGCTGGAAACATGTAACCATTGACTTCCACGGTTAGTGTAGATTTTTTAGTCTTTTGTATATTTCTGTTTAACAAAAGAAAAAAACTGAGCAATTTTCATTTTTGGGGGGTGAACTATTCCTTTAAGCAAACAGTAAAATATATGTCAAAATGTAATGTTATATTAAGCATCCTATGTGCTGATAATCGTGTGATATACACTGCAAAATGCTAGGCTCCACACAATTTCTTCATGTTGTCCCAAAACAAATTGAGGTAACTGTTTTTACAAATTTAAGTGGATTGAACATAAAACCATTTGACCCTAAAATACTCAAGAATTGTGTTGATTCAGCTCATTTTAGCTGAAATCATTTTTGAGTCTAGACTGTAACTGTACTGCTTCATACTAGTTCCACAGTCGTCATTTATTTTTGAGTCTGATACATCAACTTTTGGTTCAAATAACGAATCATTTCATAATTTATTATTCTCAAGAAAACATTTTAAGTGTAAGTACGTTCTTAAAGGGACAGTTACTCCAAAATGCAAACGTTTGGATCATTGCATCAACATCCACTGGTTTCAAACCTTTATGAGTTTCTTTATTCTGTTAAAAACAAAAGTAAGAAATTCTGAAGAATATAAGAAACACCATGGATTTCCATAAAACTGATTGATTTCCATAGTGGAAAAAACATACTTTGAAAACCAATGGTTACCGCCTTGAAACATGTTATAGTAATAATAATAATAAAAATATATTTAAGCGTGTTTAACTGAAAAAAGGTGTTAATTTATGACAGAATTAAAATTTTTGGTTGAACTGTTCCTTTAAGGGCTGTGAGTTAAAGAAAGGGGGTGTGGCTTACAGTTCGAAGAGAAGTTCGCTGATTGGTTTGTAATATATTTGGGCTCCAGCCAATAACACAAGTCGCAAGTTTTCTTTTATAGGGCGCATCCATGTGTTATCATTGATTACTTGTGTTGTTTTAAGTAGCAGGAGAGTAGTATCTCGACTAAAATGAGTGGAAGAGGTAAAACCGGAGGAAAAGCCCGCGCCAAGGCCAAGACCCGCTCCTCCAGGGCGGGCCTGCAGTTCCCAGTCGGCCGTGTTCACAGGCTTCTTCGCAAGGGTAACTATGCAGAGCGCGTTGGTGCTGGAGCTCCAGTGTATCTGGCTGCTGTGCTCGAGTATCTGACCGCTGAAATTCTGGAGTTGGCTGGAAACGCCGCTCGGGACAACAAGAAGACCCGTATTATCCCCCGACATCTGCAGTTGGCGGTGCGCAACGATGAAGAGCTGAACAAACTTTTGGGCGGTGTGACCATCGCTCAGGGCGGTGTGCTGCCCAACATCCAGGCCGTACTGCTGCCAAAGAAGACCGAGAAGGCCGCCAAGAAGTAAACTGGGTGAAGATCGTTTCAAAACCAAAGGCTCTTTTAAGAGCCATCCACTTACTACTTAAAGGGTGATTACTTCTAGACTGTGCTGGTATTTTGAAAATATAAAATGGAAATCCCAACTTAACAAGAAAAATGTATGAAATACTTAATATCACACCTGTTTAATGAAACGTTTGTATTTTTTATATTTAGTATATCAAGTATCTCAGTCCCTCGAGTTCACTGTATATAAGACGTTTACAACAGCCACAGGGTGACCAAACTGCTTTAGTTTGAATTAGTTTAAAATAACGCAATTTAAAGTTATTTTTATTCAGTCGCACTGTTGTTAATCTGAATTAAAAACCCAACGTTATATATTCTTTATGTAAAGGATTAATGGAAAACTTTAATTATATAGTGCAAAAATTTAGGGTGTTTTTGATAATTTTCCATTTTATTCATACAAAGAGGCGGGAGTTATGTACTTTTAGGCGGGAACTTTTCTTTTAGCAGATTCCCCGTTTCAAAAAACGACGGTGTACAGCCATTGGTTGACTGTCGTAAAGTTAAACTAAGGAATAACCAATCAAATCATTCGAATTCTTGCCGTCCAATGAGCTCGTGGCAGCTCTGCTTTAAATATCCGACAAGGTTACTGGTTGTATTATTTGTTCACAGAACAAAACTTAAGCCTTATCTAACAATGGCAAGAACCAAGCAGACCGCCCGTAAATCCACCGGAGGAAAAGCTCCGAGGAAGCAGCTTGCTACAAAAGCCGCTCGTAAAAGCGCCCCGGCCACCGGTGGCGTTAAGAAGCCTCATCGCTACAGGCCCGGTACCGTAGCTTTGAGAGAGATCCGTCGTTATCAGAAGTCCACTGAATTGTTGATCCGCAAACTGCCCTTCCAGCGTCTGGTGAGAGAAATCGCTCAAGATTTCAAGACTGATCTGCGTTTCCAGAGCTCTGCTGTCATGGCCCTGCAGGAGGCCAGCGAGGCTTATCTGGTGGGTCTGTTTGAGGACACAAACCTGTGCGCCATCCACGCCAAGAGGGTCACCATCATGCCCAAAGACATCCAGCTGGCCCGCCGCATCCGCGGAGAGCGCGCTTAAACTTTTGCCACCCTTAACACAAAGGCTCTTTTAAGAGCCACCCATATATCTCTTTAAAAGACCGTTTCTTTCGTGTTTTTTTGTAGTCGAACTACTTAATTCTGCCTATTAAAGACGTGTTATGAATTGCATTTCGAAAATAAGGTAAAACCCATTTCAGCTGATCTGTTAATTACAACTTCAAGAGTAGTGAACATCTATTAATTGAGCGTTTCAGACACATGGCTACTGAAAGGGAAACAAGCAAATTATAAAGTGAAAGGACTGAAACAATATATTGTTTTGCAATCAATGCAATATTCTGTGCTGTTTCTCTCTATTAATCTATAATAAGCGCTTTTTCTATAATGCATAAATATAGTTTTTTTTAATATTCTAGAATGTAAGTTTTGCTGAGAATTGTTATCACTGCTAAAAATGAAGAAAATCAAACAAAAAAACGGTTTCGGTACACTAAGGTAAATTACATTAAACACTAGGTAGTGGGCGGAGTCAATCTTTTAAATCCTCTGATCTGTCATTGATAGTTTGACCTGACCAATCAAGACATTCCATGGGTAGGGCGATGGATAAACCAATCACAGGCCGCGGTTTTTCGTATTTTAAATTAGCATACGTGGTATATAAAACCATGCGCTTTCTGCGGGGAACTTACATCTTGAAGACCTAGGTCAAGCACGATGCCTGAACCAGCGAAGACTGCACCCAAGAAGGGCTCTAAAAAGGCGGTAACCAAAACCGCAGGCAAAGGAGGTAAGAAGCGCAAGAGGACCAGGAAGGAGAGCTATGCCATCTACGTTTACAAAGTCCTGAAGCAGGTTCATCCTGACACTGGAATCTCCTCAAAAGCGATGGGTATCATGAACTCGTTCGTCAACGACATCTTCGAGCGTATCGCCGGTGAGGCGTCCCGTCTCGCTCACTACAACAAGCGCTCCACCATCACATCGAGAGAAATCCAGACCGCCGTGCGTCTGCTGCTGCCCGGGGAACTGGCCAAACACGCCGTGTCTGAGGGTACAAAGGCCGTCACCAAGTACACCAGTTCCAAGTAAAACGCGGAGTCAACTTCCACCCAAAGGCTCTTTTAAGAGCCACCCATGTTTTCATTTAGAGAGCTTTGCCTTTTATATTGTTTTTTACTGACGCTATTCATGCTATATATATATATATATATATATATATATATATATATATATATACACACACACACACACACACACACACACACATATATATATATATATATATATATATATATATATATATATATATATATATATATATATATATATATACACTAAGCACTCAGCTTAAGTTTCCGTTTAAATGTTTATCACTGAACCTTACGTTAAAGTATCCTCATGGTTCACATTAAATCCCAAGTCCTACCTTGTTAACACTACTTAACAACAATTAACACTTCTTAAAACAACGCAAAGTGGAATTGAGCAGTAATCCACTGGGTAGTAATAATTTAGTCAGTTGTACACACCGGCAAGTGCACCTTTAATGTGTTAGAAAATATGCGTATACAATACAAAAGAAATATCTATGCATGTTTTGAAGCTGTAGTTAATCTTAATGTTATTCTCCTCGTTTACTTTTTCCATACCTTTCTTTATTCTGTAAACAAATATGCGAGGAAAGCCGGAGGGCTGTAACTGTTCGTTTTTACTTCAATATGAAGTAATTACAGTTTTTTTTTGCATTCCTCAAAGTTTCTTTGGTGTTCAAAGAAACTCAAGGTTTGGAACTACTTTTGGGTGGAAAATAGTGAGTATTTTTCATGAGTTTTCTGTTTTACGAGGGCTGGCAAATCATCTAAAAGTGCCGTTTCAGATAAGCGATAGAGGAAAAGCTCAACTTTCTATTCCACTTTCTTTGGTAAAAGTTTACCTTGGTGAGGATGACCATAATGATTACCTGATTTATGTGTTTCTAATGATAGAATGCGTAAGTGATCTCTTTAATAATGTAACCACAACTTTAATATTTCTGCATTACCTAAACTTACCAGCTGGGCTATCATTTCTTGTCTTGTATAAATTTACATAGTATCAATAACCATCTTTATTCTGTTGGAGTGTAAAACCTCAATGAGCAAAGGGATAATTCCTTACAGATTATTAATAAAAGTAAAAAAATAAATAAATAAAATCTATATTCTTCAAAACAATGTAAACGAAAATCCCACACATTTGATTATTTCTGTGCATTCTGAAATACGCCTTTGACTGGGATCGCAAATTTTTGTTTTTTTGTTTTCCAACAAGCTGATTTCTCTCTCTTTTTATGCTTTATATTGTAATAGTACATGCTCAATGGTTTCTGTTCCTCTACAATAACTGCAGCAATCTGGTTCACATTTCTTTATAATGTACAGGTAACAGCTAAGATTGGAGTAAACAAAGCCTATAGTTATAACAATAATTATGTTGAATAAAGGTTCTCCTTTTGACTCTTTATTACAGTCTACTTGCCATAGGCTTATGGCTGCAACTATAATAATAATATTGCCTGAAAAGTTGTTTTGGCCAGCTAATCTACCCTCTCACTTCCTTCTATACTACACAGGGATCCATTAAAAGTCTACACTTACTGTAATATTGATTATATATATATTCTGCATATTTTTATTCAAAACAGCTATTAACTTTAAGCGTGGGTGTTACAAAGCATTACCAGACACTTGCATTTCGGAAGGAAGTGCAGTGATTGGTTTTTAACTGAGGCAGAATCTGACCAATAGGCGAGAGGCACGATAGCTTTATAAACTGATGGTCGCGCCCTAAACATCACAAACGTTTTCGTTTATTTTCGATAGACAGCCAATAATCATGAGTGGAAGAGGTAAGACCGGAGGAAAAGCCCGCGCCAAGGCCAAGACTCGCTCCTCTAGAGCAGGGCTTCAGTTCCCCGTCGGCCGTGTTCACAGACTCCTTCGTAAAGGTAACTATGCTCAGCGCGTCGGTGCTGGAGCTCCAGTGTATCTGGCCGCTGTGCTCGAGTATCTGACCGCTGAGATTCTGGAGTTGGCTGGAAACGCCGCTCGTGACAACAAGAAGACCCGTATCATCCCCAGACATCTGCAGCTGGCGGTGCGCAACGATGAAGAGCTGAATAAGCTTCTGGGCGGTGTGACCATCGCTCAGGGTGGTGTGCTGCCCAACATCCAGGCCGTGCTGCTGCCCAAGAAGACCGAGAAGGCCACTAAAGGCAAATAAACTGCAGTTCGGTTGTTACTTTGACTCAAAGGTTCTTTTAAGAACCACCCACTTGCTCTTTAAAAGGCAATTTAATCAACGCTGCCAATTTAAGTAAAAAAAAAAATAAAAAATAACGCAAAATAAGCATCGTGGTTGCTGAAAGTATCGGGTGTCCGCGGGGTCATCATACAAGCAAAACGTTTGAAAGCCTCCAATGTGTCCAGGTTCCTTATGTCTGAGCTATTAAACTCGACTACAGTCTTAAAATTGTAGCCTGACGTAATAAACACGTTCGAACATAAAAAAAAAACCAAAACCTTTTTAAACCCAAAGTTACATATCTAGAACCCATTGCTCTAATTAGTCACCCATGTCTCATTCGGTGAGCCGTATGCAGATCTAAATAATTAATTTGGGTCACTGTTAATTTAGGTGTGTAAGGAAATGAGTAGGATATTCTGGCTAAACAAGCTTTTAAGTCAATGAAGTAGACCTGAAAATCCCACCGAGTAAGGCAGTGAGCAAAATCCATAAGCACATATGGCAAGTATACTGAGATAACAGTAAAAAAGCATGTGTATAGTATACAAATATACAAAAACAAGTTGGTTCTGGGACAAGGGAGAACAGAAATCGATATGAAAGTATATCCAAGATGAGAATGAACATGAGAATAAAATAGGGAACATCCAACTGGAGAATGTTTACTCTATAGTCAACAAGAAACCATAACTTATGTATTATTCCACTGTAGCAATATAATAATAAACAATGCCACCTTAATCAAACATCATGACTTTACACGATCTAGTTTATTACAGAATACATCTAGGTATCGATGATGACATCAAATTTATTAAGACAGCTATTTAGTCAAAAGAATAATAAAGCTTACATACTCTTCTCCTCTTGTTTAAAGTCAGCATCAGCCCATACATCCAGCATGTAAACAGAACCGCCAGCTTTAGACCAAAAATGAGCAGTCTGTCAGACGAAGAAGAGCCAGAGTCAGAGATTAAGTTACAAAAAAGGGTTACTGAATATAGTTACTCATCAGCAGAAGACATCTTCAATACACAAGTTGGTAGGCCGCTCTGCTTACAAACTCAAATCAACAACTATACTCTCACATAATGTCATCAACTGCATAACTGTTTAACCAAAACACAGATAGACTGAAAAATAGCCAATTCTTGAACTCAGGGTTAAATAGATTTTTATATATTGTGATATACTGATATATCACTGATATATCTGATATATCGTTTATGTCCTCAGTAGGTCAGTAATGTTTTTGCAGTAACGGTCTCTGAACTTTATATGGAAAAGCATTAGAGGAAGCTTTCTTTTACACGATTTATTGAAAATTTACATCTCTTGTCTATATTCTCTGTTCCTTCTCTATTACAACCATCAGTCTTATGTGTTTTAGAGAGCACAAGTCCATTAAAAAAACAAAAAAACATGCAGACTTTAACATAATAAAGAGTTCATAAAATACCTAACGTTATACATTTTATTCAAATGAATATGCAGTTCAGCTTAATTTAGCTAATGTTGCTTTCTGATTCACACAAATCAGGGTTTCTGTTGTTTAAGACCAATATGAATGATACAAGACATTTGTATATTAGTTATTTCAAGGCCACATATTTTACATGAATTGTCAAAACAAGTAAATGGTCCATACTATTTTAACAACTCTTAAAAAAAAAGTCTGTGAAAACTATATAAACATTAATATAATAATAATAATAATAATATAACAAATTAAATGTATGCATGACTGTCCTGGTCAGGGCCCTCACCATACATGGACTGTAAATTTACAGATACATTTTAAACATATTATTGTAAGGATGATTATTAAACCATATTGGTAAACAGTTTTGTTAAAAGCTCTATTACAATGGATTGTTGGTGATTGGATGAGTGTTAGGCAGATTGGGTGTACCTTTATATCCACATAGGAGAACAGTTTGAAATTAAGATACACAAGACAAAAAAATCAGTAAATTTAATACTTTAAGGCCAAAATTTTGTTTTTAAAATTTAAGACATGAAGACTAAACTAATTTAAACTAGGTCAATTGCAAAAAACATTGTTTCAAAGTGTTTGAAACTCAGTCACCTCTTATGTTTGAATAAAATATAAAAATATATTTAGCTTTTAGTAGCCTGTCGGAGCCCTGAATTAGTAGTATATTAATGTATTTAATTTATTTAGTATTATTTTTGGCCTGCTTTTTGCCAGCTATTGTACTGCCACCTATAGGACATACTAGTGAATGCACTGTAGGAGAGCCAGTATCAGCTAAACCTAATCAGCAAGAGGCATGCCGGTGGGTAGAAACAGTTTTCAAACGCTCCTTTTGAGAATTTTAAAAAACAGTATTGGAAGTTGTTTGTTTTGGTACATGTTAGTATGTTTGTCTGTTTACTACTATTGTTGGCCATTCTCAATAGACAAGTAGCCAAGCAACATTGCTTTGCTAAATTTCCCTTAAACATTGCTCAAAAAAGTTCCTCTGTGTATCACCAGCATGTTATTGTAATACATAAAATCGTTAGAATAGACTTCCTAAATGATGTCCTTACAGATCTTACATTTTCATGCTGATGCAATAACAGCGTTAATCTCATTCTTCTTTATCCACGGCAGAGTTATTAATATTGGAAATAACTGTTGTATAATATATAGCAAAATTATTTAAGTTTTTTGGGTGAACTGTTTCTTTAAATTAGAAATTCAAAAAGTAAACTACAATCCGAGCCACGAGGCCTGGAGATTGACACGCCTATTGTGGCGTTGTAGCTCCACCTTGAGGGCTTCAACTAGGTCGTCTAAGCGACTATAAAGCTTCTCTGGTCTGTACACGAGAGTTCTTATAATCTGATTTCTTTTTGATTGAGAACATGTCTGGAAGAGGTAAAGGTGGTAAAGGACTGGGAAAAGGGGGCGCCAAGCGTCATCGTAAAGTCCTGCGTGATAACATCCAGGGAATCACCAAACCCGCCATCCGTCGGCTCGCTCGCCGTGGTGGAGTCAAGCGTATCTCTGGCCTGATCTACGAGGAGACTCGCGGTGTGCTCAAAGTGTTTTTGGAGAATGTGATCCGTGACGCCGTTACGTACACCGAGCACGCCAAGAGGAAGACCGTGACCGCCATGGATGTGGTGTACGCGCTGAAACGGCAGGGACGCACTCTTTACGGGTTCGGCGGGTAAACGTCAACGATCTGTCCATAAGTCAAAGGCTCTTTTAAGAGCCACCCACATTTTCATAAAAGAGGCTTTTGGTTGATTTTGAAATTGTTTTTATAGTAATTGGGTTATTTAATTTTATTTAATTCTTTGGGAATCATGGGAGACGCAGTAAAAAGAATTGCTGATCCTGTCAATCCAATAATTCATCTGATTATAGAACTCTAGTGGCTATTAGTGCTATTACAAGCTGTTTATCACATGACAAAGAACCAAAATGATAATTAGAAAAGCATGTAGTTTGATCTTTTTTAAAACAAATTGATCAAAATATTTTCTAAGAAATAACTTCGTTATTTCGTTACTGTTACCACATAATACATTCTAAATTGACAGTACTTCCTTTGTCTAAACGTTTTTCACAACACAATTAAATTGCATTTTTGGACAGCAGACATTCTAGACATGGATTATACATTGAACATTGAACTGAATCAAAAGTATCAAAATAAAATACTTTTTTTGATAATTTTACAAAGTACTTTTATAAAGGGAGCATGACATTTTTCCCCTGCACCTTGTATCAATAGGCATATTCGATCAATCCCTTCACCATTAAACATAAATATTGGGATATATATATATATATATATATATATATATATATATATATATATATATATATATGTATATATATGTATATGTATATGTATATGTATATATATATATATATATATATATATATATATATATATATATATATATATATATATATATATATATATATAAGCCAGTTATGCATAATTCATTTGTGATAATAATTTAGTAAAAAAAAAGGTTAAAACATGATAAAAATTGACATTTCTTATGGGATAAAAATTATTTCATATTTTTATAAGAAGAATTCATTGTGATTATATTATCTAAAATGCATAATTTAATAATTGATACAATATTTAAAATAAAATACTTTAGTATTTTGGCTTCCGACAGCAATACGTCATGAGGTCATTAGTTCATACGTTTAAGGCAGATTGCAGTTATGGATGTTGGAAGCAACACAGTGGTTTGATCGAGCTGATCGAGTCTATTGTAACTTTGTATTTTTGTTTGCATTTATTCAGTAAACCTTAAAAGAAGATTCCGTCTTACTCACGTTTTTTCAAATACTGGTTGTTGGAATAGAAGCTGCAAAAGGTGGTACATACGGCATTGCACGAAAGGTGTGCCACTACACAAACATTATATATATATATAAACATGAAATCTGACAACTAAAATCTCCATGTTTTACTTATTTCCATAAATCATGTTTTTTTTTGCATTTGTATTCTTTAATGAACAAATAAAATATTCATAAACATCAGATTCCTGCTACACGGCAACAGCAAGGAGTTTTTGACCAGTCACTGGAGTAATATGTGTGTCTATAAATCCAATAAATTGTGCCACAGACAGACATCTTTCCTCTACTATTCAGAGCACCTTCAGATCAACTACTGGCATTTAAAACAGCCAATAAAGTATTGTAGGAATCGCGGTTGTAGGATTTTAATGTTGTTTGTCTTTTTTTTTCTTAGCATCTACATCAGCAATCCACCCAAAACTACTATTATTTATATTATTTATCAAGTTTTTTTTCAGTTCTTGTTTAGCTGGAAGAGTCCCAGTTCACCCTCTTGGTAAACACCTTTGCATTTCCCCCTGCAGACTGAGAGTGACTATGTGCTGAAGGCTCCATATTCCTGTTAAGGACTGATGTTTTATTCCATCTCATTTTCTAAGCAAAGATACTGATGCTGAATTGTACACTATACTAATGTAACTCACACCAAAATTTTTGAGTATTAAATATAGTTTTATTTTAACATGTAATTAAGAGTTTCTTAATTTATTTTTTTTCTATTTGTCAGAATATATGTATTTGTTTTATTTTCTTACCTTACCTAATGCACAAAATTTGGGCAAGTAAATTTTTTTTATAGATGTATCAATTTAATTTTAGAAGTTAATTTCTAAAAACCGGAATTGAGGTCAAGGGTGACTGACGTCACTTGCACGCCAGCTTGTGGTGAAGACAGGAGAGACACGTTTTGGCTGTCTTCTAATTTAATCCATCCTGCCAATTCGGCATAAAATGAATGTCCCAAATTGTTTTGCTGCATTAGCTTACTAATACTGGACTGTTCCATCGCGCCGCGGCCGCATTGGACTCGTGCAGGCAAAGGGAGCGGCTCCTTACATTCACTCCGTGAGGATTCCTATTGGATGGACGCATGTCATCACTCAATCGTCGAGGATTTTCGTAGGAACACATACACTGATTCACATACATAGGCCTTTTTCACACTTCCTGGTTCCGGTAAGCGAAGCAGTGTACCACAATATCCGGTTTCAATGCAACGGAGCAAGAAAGAATGGCAGGGTCATCTCATCGCTGTGATTGCTGCGTTCCCAGCTGCTCCAACTCAAAAACGACACTCTTACTTTAATGACCACGATCTCCCGAAAGACGAAGGACAGGGAAAATCATGGATGACAATATTAAAGGGGGTTGAATGCCGTTTCAAGTTATATGCGGGAGTACATTCTTATGCTGTATACATTTCAAAGCGGAGATTATTATGTTTCATTAAAGACTGGTGGTCTATGGTTTATTTTGACGAATAATTATAATATAGACAAAACTCAAGTTAAGCTATCTGCCGTCCACAAACAAGTGCTCATCATGGTCATTAATCTATAAGCATGATTTATCCCTACATTGTTGTTATTTTGGAATAATAGACAGTTCATACAAATGCAAATCTCTTTTTTTAATTGGTTTGACAGCAAAATTATTTGTTTAGTTAGTTATATAATAAAGATAGTATACTTTAATGTGTTATTTAATGTGTTAATGTTTAAAATGTTATTTGCTGTTCTTTAAATAAATAATAAAAATGAATATTATCCACGAGTAGGAGCTAACGTGTTTCCAGACTTGAGAAAACCTCACGAGCATTAAACAACCTGTAATGTATTAACCGATAGCAACTCGCCTGTACAGCTACCTCGCCATTCACTATATCTGACTCTGAATAAAAAGGAAGGAGGGGGTTAGCACAGTTTACAGACGGGACTACTGACATAAAACTCATCCTGCTGGATGTTAAATAGCCAGGTTAATCTAGTTTACGAATGGCTTGAATGAGCAGATTTTATGCTGTTGGCTGTGCACCTTACTGGAACCTGACATGGCAAACGCTGTGTAAGACACGTTTTCTGCACAAACTCTGCAAATCGGTATCATCTTTTAAATGCTGTTTTATTAAGGCAGTTTTACACATTCACCGAACAACATCTTCCTGTCCAAATTATGGCAAAGTTGACCGTGAGAAAGTCATCCGCTGTCCCGAGGCTGTCATGTCACGTCTCTGCGACTCCTAGCGAACCCGGAAATATCGATACACTGCTTCGAAGGGCGCTTCCGGTGTTCAATTCCGCTGTGAAAAAGGTCTATTGAACTATGTTTTACATTACATTCAGGACTTTGAAGTTTTCATATATATATATATATATATATATATATATATATATATATATATATATATATATATATATATATATTGAAATTGGGACGTTTAGACAGTTGAAACTGTATATTCCTACTTCTGTATAGTTTTATTTTTTTTTCAAAAAAAAAAAAGGGCTGAATTGCTGTCAACATATTGTATTTTATTTATTTAATTTTGTTTGTTTTGAATACCTGAGTATGTTTTCATAAGGGCTGAAAAGCAGTACAGATACAGACCAGAAAATTTGCAATACAGCAAACTCAAAAAGTATTTTCTTGAGTATGGGTATTTATTTTTATTTGAGCAGTTGGATATTATAGTATGAGTAATACGTAAAATTTGGCCATACCATTTATAAATATATTGTGTCGTTAAGTTGAGATATCCCGAACCCGAGATTTCAAGTAAATTGTGTTGTAATTTCATATATAATTTGGAAAGCTCAGACCCAGTAGATAATTTTCCCCTTTTCAGTTAAATCAATTTTATATGTGGGTTACACTAACATTACATATTACTGGTCTTTGGCATTGTGAAGTATACACTTTTCAAGGATTGTTGACTTTTATTGTCATTTGTCAATTTTTTTCTTCGTGTGTGCATATTTCCATCCACCTCCGAGCATTGGCCAACTTCAATTTTCTGTTCTGATCTCTAGCCTAACTAAGAGAGCATTAATCAAAGGCCGGATATTTAGGATGTCGTCATGTAGACTTCTTACAAAGTATTTTAAAGTATTTTTAAAAAAAAAAATACAAGACACTAAAGGTTTTTAATACAAATGACAAAATACTATTTTGTATTTGAAAGGGATATCATAAACACTGCCCATCCCTGGCAACACATAATAAAGTTTGGGTGATTGCTTTGTTATTTACCTATTTTTCTTTATGTAAGTTTAATATGCTACACACTGGTGCGTGTTTTAAAGTTCTGAAACAGTTAAAGTACTTTGTAAAACATGCATTTGCTTCAAGGCAATTGATGAATTGTGTAGAATTTTAAATCCATTGATACTGTAGATATGCACTGGTGTCTACTCGTTGCTTGAAATTAAGCTGTTAAGTATGGATGTATTTTATTGTTTATATATATATATACACACACACACACACACACACACACACACACACACACACACACACACACATTTTTTTTTACTTTTCTGTATGATGAGCTCTGGTATTATGTGAATTTCCCTTTTAGAGTAATAAAGTCTAAACAAACAACAATTAGTCATTTACATTGTCATTTAGCAGACACTTTTATCCAAAGTGACTTAAAAATGAGGACAAGGAATCAATTAACAAAATTAAAAGAGCAACTATAACTAAGAAGCAAACATTGTTTTTTTTATTTTTTATTTTTATTTTTGCAATACAGTTAGCAGTAGAACCAGAGAGGCAAATGCAGATAGTTGAGCTGAGTTTAGTCGTTTCATGGAAAAGCAAACAAAACACAAAGGATGAAATTGTCTTATGTTAAAAAAAGAAAAAGAAACACATTAATAACTCTTGCTGCACATCTTGTTTTATTTTTCCACAGGCCGTATGTCCAAAGTAAAACAACTTCAGTGAAAGAACAGAGGACAAATGACTCCATAAATCTAAAACAAAATTTACGGCATCTCCTATTTGAACTTTACGATAAAGCCTTGACCCTCTTCATTTCAATAAGGTCTTTCTAGTCTACTGTAAAATATTTCATTGCACTTGTTTTGCTTTGTGTTTAAACGGAGAAAGCACAAGTTTCGTGTCGAGGCGATACTCTGAGGAGCGGTTATTGAGTCTACACGGTTCTCATGTGGCACTTAAGTTCTTAGCGCCGCTTAGCAGAGCTACACAATTCACTGCAAATCATAGGAGAAGGTCCCTGCTCAGGAAAATGGCTGAAACTGCTCCAGCTCCCGCTGCATCACCGGCTAAAGCTCCAAGGAAGAAAGCGGCGTCAAAGCCCAAGAAAACGGGCCCGAATGTCCGCGACCTCATCGTTAAGACTGTAACCGCATCCAAGGAGAGAAACGGCGTGTCTCTCGCAGCCCTGAAGAAGGCTCTCTCCGCCGGTGGATATGATGTGGAGAAGAACAACTCCCGCGTCAAAACCGCCGTCAAGGCACTGGTGACCAACGGCACTCTGGCCCAGACCAAAGGCACAGGCGCCTCCGGCTCATTCAAGCTCAACAAGAAGCAAGCCGAACCCAAGAAGGCAGCCAAGAAAACCGCCGCAAAAGCAAAGAAACCCGCCGCTAAGAAATCTCCCAAGAAGGCGAAGAAACCGGCGGCCACATCTGTGAAGAAGGCGACAAAGAGCCCCAAGAAAGCCAAGAAGCCAGCGGCTGCCAAGAAGGCGACCAAGAGCCCCAAGAAGGCAAAGAAACCAGCAGCTGCCAAGAAAGCAGCCAAGAGCCCCAAGAAGGTGAAGGCAGTCAAGCCCAAAACGGCTAAACCTAAAGCGGCGAAGTCTAAAAAGGCGGCTCCCAAGAAGAAATAATCGACTACTTCTGCTCGATTCTTCCAAAAACCCAAACGGCTCTTTTAAGAGCCACCAATTGGTTCAAACTTAAGAGCTTTATTTCGATGGTTAAATCGAAAAAAAAAAAAACTTCCTGATGAGGAATATTCTCATTTATATTTAATATTCACAAACACTCAAGCCTGTTTGAGATTTTACTGTTGAGTAAAAAATAATTTGAATAATGCTGGAATAATGAATAACGCTAAAGCATGTTACCATCGACTCCCCGTTTGTTTTCCTCTTATAGAAATCAATGGCAAGTGTTTATTTTTGTAGTATTCTGAATATTTCTGTTCAGCAGAAAAAAAAAAAGTCTTAAAAGTTAAAGTTTGAAAACAGTGAGTACATTTTCATTTTTGGGGGGTGAACTATCCCTTTAAGCAAATACACTAAGACATTAACATTAAGTCAAGTATGTGCTGATATTTAAGTGATATAAACAATAAAGTGTAGACTGGAACGGTATTGCTCAATAATAATTTGTTAAACGGTCATTATTTATTTTTGACTCCGTTACATCAACTTTTGGTAAAAAAAAATAATAATTTCATCATTATGTGTGTATGCTCAAGAAAACATTTATAGTGCAAGTACTTTATTACGTACTTAAAGGGACAGTTACCCCATAATGGAAATGTTTTAATCATTGACTCAACATCGAGTTTATGAGTTTCTTTATTCCGTTGACAACAAAATATATTCTGAGGATGTAAGAAACATTGTGACTTATGATTACTATAATAGGAAAAATAACAAATACTTTGTAATCCAATTGTTACATCTGCATGTTTTAAAAATAATATTTTGCGCTTGTTCAACAGAAAAAAAGAATATGAAACACGTGAATTAAATGATGAATTGCAATTTTTGAAAGAACTGTCCCTTTAAGGGCTCTCATTAGCGGAAAGAGGGTGTGGTTTGCAGTTCGAAGAAACGCTCGCTGATTGGTTTCTATCATGTTCAGTTTACAGCCAATAGGACAATCGCACGCCTCCTTCTTAAAAGCGCATTACGAAAAGTTTCGTTATTGTTACTTTAGGTAGCAGGAAAAATCTAATCGAGACGAAAATGAGCGGAAGAGGCAAAACCGGAGGAAAAGCCCGCGCTAAGGCAAAATCTCGTTCTTCGAGGGCGGGTCTGCAGTTCCCAGTCGGTCGTGTTCACAGACTTCTTCGCAAAGGCAACTACGCACAGCGCGTTGGTGCTGGAGCTCCAGTATATCTGGCCGCTGTGTTAGAATATTTGACCGCTGAGATCCTGGAGTTGGCTGGAAACGCCGCTCGGGACAACAAGAAGACCCGCATCATCCCCCGACACCTTCAGTTGGCAGTGCGCAATGACGAGGAGTTGAATAAGCTTCTGGGCGGAGTGACCATCGCTCAGGGCGGCGTGCTGCCCAACATCCAGGCCGTGTTGCTGCCCAAGAAGACCGAGAAAGCCGCCAAGAAATAAACCAAGTTTTTAAAGACCTTTTAAAAACCAAAGGCTCTTTTAAGAGCCACCCATTTCCTCCTTAAAAGAATAATTTACTTGCTTGGGTTGAACTAATATTTCACTAGTATAAATAAAAGCCCAACTAAAGTTTCATACCACACTTAATAAACAATACACTTTTGTATTATAAGTTTATTTAAAGCTTTCAATATCTCAGTCCTTCGATTCTATTGCACATCTACAAACACAAAAGTTGATAAAACTGCATTACAGCCTATATGGGTTTAAGAGATCTCAAAACTAAATGAGATGTTTTTATATTTAAATCTGTCGCGCTGTAGATAATCTGAATTAAAGCCCAACGCCATATCTTTGGGGATTAATGGACATTTACATAATATAATAAAGAAAACATTTAAGACGTTGGAGGTGAAAATAATGTACGTTTTGGCTGGTACTTGTTCTCAAAAGGACTGATTCAAAAACAAAGGCGCACAGTCATTGGTCAACTGTCGTAAAGCGAAAGCAGACAATAACCAATCAAATCATTTGACTTCACACCATCCAATAAGATCGTGGCAGCTACGCTTTTAAATAAACGACACCGGGCAGCAGAGCTGTCACTTACTTTACTGTCAAGTGAAAAATCATCTCGCTGCAATGGCAAGAACCAAGCAGACCGCCCGTAAATCCACCGGAGGTAAGGCCCCTAGGAAGCAGCTCGCAACCAAAGCTGCTCGTAAAAGCGCACCAGCTACCGGTGGCGTCAAAAAGCCTCACCGCTACAGGCCCGGAACCGTGGCTCTGAGAGAGATCCGCCGTTATCAGAAGTCAACTGAGCTGCTGATCCGCAAACTTCCCTTCCAGCGTCTGGTGAGAGAAATTGCTCAAGACTTCAAGACTGATCTGCGTTTCCAGAGCTCCGCTGTCATGGCCCTGCAGGAGTCCAGCGAGGCTTATCTGGTGGGTCTGTTTGAGGACACAAACCTGTGTGCCATCCACGCCAAGAGGGTCACCATCATGCCCAAAGACATCCAGCTGGCCCGCCGCATCCGCGGAGAGCGCGCTTAAACCCACTTGTGACGCAACAAAACCCAAAGGCTCTTTTAAGAGCCACCCATCTGTCTCTGTAAAAGGCAATTTTTGAGATTTCCTTAAGCTGAACTGTTAAACTGTACTTGAATCTAAAATAAGATTGGTGTTTGAGAGAACAGTTCGAACACAAACTCTGCTTTCAACTAAAAAGATTACAGTTTCAGTACTGGTGAACAGACATTTACATTTTTGATACATGGCTCCTCAAATGCTGAACTATCCACACGTAGAATAAAACGCATTCATTTGCAATGTAACTTAGTTCAGGTTAATCTCGTCTTATAATTTTGATAACGCTTATTCTATAACCTAAAATATGCACCATGAACTAGGATGAGATTTTTTGTTGAAAATAGTTATCCGCTAAATAAAAGCGGGAAATTTAAACCAAGAAACCGTTAGTTACAATAGGGTGGTGAAAAAAAGACGTCAAACACTATAACATAGGCGGAGTCAATCTTTCAAAGCTGATGGGTAGTATGACCTGACCAATCAAGTCATTCCATGGGTAAGGCGGTGAACCAATCACAGGCCGCGTATTCTTATTTTAAATTACCATACGTGATATATAAAACCCAGTGCTTTTCAGTAGCAGTGTATTATTTGATCATCTTGGTCAAGAAGCAATATGCCTGAACCAGCCAAGACTGCACCCAAGAAGGGCTCCAAAAAGGCGGTGACTAAAACCGCCGGCAAAGGAGGAAAGAAGCGCAAGAGGACCAGGAAGGAGAGTTACGCCATCTACGTATACAAGGTGCTGAAGCAGGTCCATCCTGATACCGGAATCTCCTCTAAAGCGATGGGCATCATGAACTCGTTCGTCAACGACATCTTCGAGCGCATCGCCGGTGAGGCATCTCGTCTCGCTCATTACAACAAGCGCTCCACCATTACATCGAGAGAGATCCAGACCGCCGTGCGTCTGCTGCTGCCCGGGGAACTGGCCAAACACGCCGTGTCTGAGGGCACAAAAGCCGTCACCAAGTACACCAGCTCCAAGTAAAGCGCGGAGACAACTTGTATTACCCAAAGGCTCTTTTAAGAGCCACCCATGTTTTCGTATTGAGGGCTTTGTCTAAATTAAGCAAGTACATGAAATTTTATAGTTTTATATATATATATATATATATATATATATATATATATATATAGAGGAAAAAAGTGGTAAGGAGTGATGGTACTTTAATGACGGACAACATTGCAATTACTACACCAACTACTACAGAACATTACTACAACCTGATTAATGACAATGGTAGAAATTCTGTATAATTGCGTATAATTCTTTCAAATCAAGGTGATAAATATAAATGCTTAATGTAGATGTTTTGTACTTAGGGTGTAACATAGTTCAGTTTCTTTCAGCTTAGTGCCTTTATTAATCAGGGGTCGCCCCGCGGAATGAACCACCAACTTATGAAAACTGTTTTAAGCAGCAGATGTCATTCCAGCTGCAACCCATCAGTGGGAAACATTCAGATTCGCACACATACACTACGGACAATTTAGCTTGTTCAATTCACCTGTACGGCATGTGTTTGGACTGTGGGGGTAACCGGAGGAAACCGTGAACACAGGGAGAACATGCAAACTCCACACAAATATGCCGACTGATCCAGTCGAGGCTCGAACCAGCGACCTTCATACTGTGAAGCAACAATGCTACTCATTGCACCACCCTCTATAGCCACCCAATATATTTCTGCTAAAAAAATTATCCTTTAAAATTAGGTTTTCTAAATACATTATACTTCCCTGCTCTTCAATATCCTGTTAAATAAATCTATATTCTTAAAAAAATGTAAAATAAAATCCAACACCTTTGACTGTTTCAGTGCATTCTGAAATATATCTTTGACCGAGATGACATTCATTTTCAATTCTCTTAGTTTTCCAACAAGCTGTATGCTTTCTGTGTTTGATTATTGGTTCAGAATAGCAGCGTAAGCTTCAAGCCTTACAACATTGTCCTCTTTCCTGTTTACATATTTCTTTCTTTCCCCACTTTTGATTGTTAAATAAATATCTTCCCTTTAACTCTTTATTCCCGTTCTCTTGCCAAAGGCTTATGACTGCAGCTTTAATAATACTTTTGACTGGAAATTATTAGTGTTTTGCATAATAAGATTTCTATTTCTACCTCCTTTCCTCAATGCTGTTTTAGCCAACATATTCATCTCTTCATCCCCTTCTATACATAAACGGCCATAGATCCATAAAAACAAATCTACACTTACTGTATTATTGATTCTATAAAAATGTTGCATACTTTCATACAGAATATAAACGATTACGTTTAAACGTAGGTTATAACAAAGCATTGCCAGAAACTCGCAAATGGGGCGGGTCTTGTGAGTTGGAGGGAAGTGCAGTGATTGGTTTTCAATTGAGCCAGAATCTGACCAATAGGCGAGAGGCACATTAGCTTTAAAACCTGATCGTCGCCTTCACTATTGCATTCGATTATCTTCGAGAATCATCTACTCAACATGAGCGGAAGAGGCAAAACCGGAGGAAAAGCCCGCGCTAAGGCAAAGACTCGCTCCTCCAGAGCAGGGCTTCAGTTCCCCGTCGGTCGTGTACACAGACTCCTCCGCAAGGGGAACTATGCTCAGCGCGTCGGTGCTGGAGCTCCAGTGTATCTGGCTGCTGTGCTCGAGTATCTGACCGCTGAGATTCTGGAGTTGGCTGGAAACGCCGCCCGGGACAACAAGAAGACCCGTATCATCCCCCGACATTTGCAGCTGGCGGTGCGCAATGACGAGGAGTTGAACAAGCTTCTGGGCGGAGTGACCATCGCTCAAGGCGGTGTGCTGCCAAACATTCAGGCCGTGTTGCTGCCCAAGAAGACCGAGAAGGCCGCCAAGAAGTAAACTGAGAAAAGATCGCTTCAAAACCAAAGGCTCTTTTAAGAGCCACCCATTTCATCCTTAAAAGATTGATTTACCTTTAATGAATTCATTTTCATACCACACCTATTAACCAATTCACCTTTTTATTATAAGAGTTTGAAAGCTTTCAATATCTCAGCTTCTCGATTTTATTGCACATTAACAGCCAAAAAAGTTAATCAAACTATTACAGCCTGAATGGGCTTAAGAGATCTCAAAGCTAAATGAGATGTTTAATTCTGACAGGTTGTAAATAATCTGAATAAAAGCCCAACGCTATATATACTTAACGATTAATGGAAAATTGACAATATAGAACAGAGCCAATATTTAGGACGTTGGAGGTGAAAATAATGCACGTTTTAGCTGGATCTTGTCCTCAAAAGGACTGGTTCAAAAACAAAGGTGCACAGTCATTGGTCAACTGTCGTAAAGCAAAAGCCGACAATAGCCAATCAAATCATTTGACTTCACACCATCCACCATCGCTAATAAATTTAATGATTAGTCTTTGTTAACATTACAGGGTATCCGCAAAGTCTTGTCTGAAAAATGTTTTGTGGAAAATGGTTTTATTTACTGAACTATTAAGCATCACTTTATTCTGTTTAAATAAAACTGGTGTTTTAAATTACAATTCAAACACCATCTCGGTGTAAGGCCACCAAATCGGGCCAACAGTCCATCTCAGAACTTAAATCTGTTTATAACGGTTTACTAATGTGGATTAATTTCCATCCTCACAATAATATTAAACAGTTCTCTATAGTCCGTGTTTGGTGAGGACACTGACTGGACACTGTTGTGCACAGATTTAGTTTGTTTTATAGTTTTCAAAGACAGTTTTTAAACTTTTTAAAATACTTATTTCGTTACAGCAGCTTTTTGGAAAGGGCTCCATTGCCAGTAACTCTGTAACTCTGTAGTGAAATATAAATATATATATATATATATATATATATATATATATATATATATATATATATATATATATATATATATATATATATTTATTTTTAAAATTATTGGGTGAACTGTCTCTTTAAATGCATTATTCAAAAAGCGAACTACTATCCGAGCCACAAGGCTGGAGATTGACACGCCTATTAAGACGTTGTAGCTCCGCCTTACGTGTTTCAACTAGGTCGTCTAAGCGACTGTAAAGGTTCTCTGGTGTTACTCTTTATCATACATTCTGAACTTAACCAGTTGAGAATCATGTCTGGAAGAGGCAAAGGCGGGAAAGGACTGGGAAAAGGAGGCGCTAAGCGTCATCGTAAGGTTTTGCGTGATAACATTCAGGGAATCACCAAACCCGCTATTCGTCGTCTCGCTCGCCGTGGCGGAGTCAAGCGTATCTCTGGCCTGATCTACGAGGAGACTCGCGGTGTGCTCAAGGTGTTCCTGGAAAACGTCATCCGTGATGCAGTTACCTACACCGAACACGCCAAGAGGAAGACCGTGACCGCCATGGATGTGGTGTACGCGCTGAAACGGCAGGGACGCACTCTGTACGGGTTTGGCGGTTAAACATCTGCGATCGGTCCATAAACCAAAGGCTCTTTTAAGAGCCACCAATGCTGCCTTAAACGAGCTTTTTGACTTGGTATTACGTTTCTGGCGTATCTATGTTTTACAACCATGCATTGTTAACTGAACCGGTCTCATTAATATGAAACTAAGCGTGGACACGTTCTGTATATACTGTTAACTGTCATATAATTAGGTTCACGGGTTACTAACCCTTTTACAACAGCTACTTGGCTACCGATAAATGTGAAGGGCTACCCGTTTGACACTTCTCAAATAACAAATATGCTCAATTTACTTTGTTATTGTTATTAATGATAATCAACTGTGTGAAAACTATATTTTACATACAGTATTATATAAATATATTTTTTATTTATATTATATATATATTTCATTTATATTTTACTTTTATAGATATTATATATTTTATTTATATTTTAGCTTTACACCAATTTAAGTGTGATTTTAAAAAGAATTTTTCTATTTTAGAGGCCTGCCGGCACCATGTTGGTGACCCCTGGTTTAGATCATGAGTCTCTAGCTTTATACTTAGGGTGCTTTCACACCTACACTTTGTTTCGGAATGTATCTCGTTTGCCCAGTTAGCGCGGTTCGTTTGGCATATGTGAACAGGGCAACTCTGTTCAGCGCCAAAGTAATCGCTCCGAGATCGCTTGAGCTGGTCTCGGCTCGATTAAATCAAACCCTGGAGCGGATCGATTGCAGTGAGAAAGCGATCCGATCCGAGCGCAGTTATATCACAGTGTTTTATGGATATGTAATAGGCTTACGGCTATATGAATAGAGAATTATGAGTAGGGCGGGAAGTTTCGCCAGTCTCCGGATGCCCGCAAACGAGTGATGATCTCCAGGTAATCTTGCGTCTCACTCCCGGTCCTCAAATAGGCATCGTCGCGCACCCTTCTCAAGCCTGATTTATACTTCTGCGTCAGGTGACCGGCGTAACCCACCGCGCAGGCAACGCGCGTGGTTGTGCATTTATACTTCTGCGCGCTGTCTCTGTCGGTCTGCATTAACACTTCTGAAACGCTAGTTGGCAGTGAGGTGTAAATGTTCCTCTGTGTCGAGTTTCTTCGCTGCTTTTTTGCTTTTCCTGAACACTTCCGGGATGTACAAGTGGCTCAAACTCGCTCATTTTGAGGCAGGAACCAGCGGACGTGCAACAACTTTAACTATGAGGTAAACACAAAACGAAACTTTCCATCTGGAGCTCCTTCACGGTACACGGTACACACTTGTAAACAATCGCTCGCGGCTCTCGGTCCCGCCCAGACTCGTCAGCACTACCAAGCCGACCAATCACAGAGCTTATGCTACGCGTCGTTGCGACGTGTAGTTACATTTTTTGAGAGGTGCACGTCAGTGACGGCGACGGCGAAGGGCTATGCGTCAGTGCCGTAGCATACGCCAGTGTTTGACGCAGAAGTATAAATCAGCCTTCACCCCTCCCCACCGCGTCTCTCCTCAGACACGTCGCGCACGCGCGCACCCTGTCTATCACCACCAAACCACGACCTCTCCTGACAGCTTAGCGGGACGCTGCAAAATAAAGCCTGACACTCTGACCAATGTAAGGAGAGTTTACTCACACGTGACTTGTTTTAGCTCTTTTGGTCCGTTTAGAAACTTTGCAGTGTGAAAGCGAACCGCTCCAAGAGCAAAGAGCAACAATGTAACATTTGTAATCCCTGTTTCTGAACAACTGAATTGATTCACAGGTGTGAAAGCACCCTTAATTTCCTAGAAGCGTGCCTGTTAGGGCTGCTCGATTATGTGAAAAATAAAATCACGATTATGTTGGTCATAATTGTAATCATGATTATTCAAAACGATTATCAGTGCAAGTCAAAATTATTTGGCCTTCTGTGAATTTTTTTTGTATATAAATATTTCATAAATGATGTTTAGCAGGAATTTTTTACTGTATTTCCTATATTTTTTCATCTGGATAAAGGCTTATTTGTTTTATTTCGGCTAAAATAAAAGCTGGTTTAATATTGTGAAACCTATTTTAATAGCTCAATATTATTAGCCCCTTTAAACAATATATATTTTTGATTGTCTGCAGAAGAAACTCCTGTTATGCAATGACTTAGTATATTACAGTACTAGTATCTAATAATATAAATCTAAAAATATCTAATACAATATTATGTGCTGTCATCATAGCAAAGATAAAAGAAATGAGTTATTAGAAATGAGTTATTAAATCTGTTTTGTTTAAACTGTGCTTTAAGCATCTTTACTGCAACAAAAACACTTCAGCTACAAAAGTCCTTCAGTCAGGAGCAGTGAGGGATTTTCTCCATTTGTTGTTTGATTAATAATAAAAACAGTAAGCAGCAGGAATATTGCCGACTGTCACTTTAAAAAGTGCGGCTCTGATATGGTTTCTCTTTCACGTGTCTTTTGATTCTCAACTCGTTTGTTTATTACACAAATGAGGGTTAATATGAATAATCACTAAACGCTCTGACAAAAATGTACATGTATTTGTAGCTGCCCGGGGAGCTATCCAAACACACTGTGTCTGAGGGCACTAAGGCCGTCACAAAGTACACCAGCTCCAGTAAAGCACTGAGTCATCTGCTACGCAAAGGCTCTTTTAAGAGCCACCCATGTTTTCATCTAGAGAGCTTTTAATTCTGTGGTTAGTGGTTCAGTAACCATTGAATCCAATGTGTGTCTCCATTTTCAGTGTATGCCTAGTATAACAACCTCCAGGGTTTTTATTGAAACGCGCTTAATATGGCTTGAACTTAAGTAAAACGTGATGAAGAATGTAAACTATATGCATTTGTTTTTAATACAAAACATGTCTTTCTAAAAAGGCCTATACAGATTCTGATATGATCAGGACCTTGGGTTTTTACGATGGGGTCACACATAGGTCAGTTTCTATATCTCGGTATCTGGTCAAGAAAGTCACAAAATAGGTTGAAAACTATGCTCTCTCTATTCCTGCTCTGCAGTCTATCGGCTGTACTGCTACTAGGCTGCATTTGGGGCCTACTTATTTTTATTCATACAGAGACAATGTACAACATTGTTTGAGAGGTGGTGGTGCTAGATCATTAAATATTTTATACATTAAATACATTAGCATAAAAAAGAAATTGTCAAATGCTAGTAATTAATTTGTAAGTAGTAATTTGTATATACGGCTACAATGACAGATCCTTGGCCTTTTAGATAATTAAATAGCTTATGAATATTATACAATGGTTTTAAAGTTGTAATGCTCGTGTGACACAAATTGTAGCACAATATGATAAATGAAAGAAAATCATTGTATTCATAAAATGTTTAGCAGCAGCCATAGGTACTCTGTTATTTGTCTTTGATACTCTTGTTTTTTTCTCACTCTCTTTTAGGTTTAACTTTAATGACATTTAAGCTGGGTACAAATAAAGTTTTCATCATTTCACGTTTTATTTCTACAGTTATTTTGTTACTAATTCAGTTGGAACCATAGCAAAATATTGGCATTTATTAATAATTAAATTTTCAAGTATTTTGTGAATATTTTTTTATTTAACTTAGAATGCAATTGCTCCATATTGAAATACAATCACATAAAAGCAATGCTCTCCTACATTTTTAGCTTTTAAATCTGCCATAATTTTAAAACATGAATGGTTTGACTAGAAATGTAGTTTTTCACCATCATACTGATTACATTTTTAGGTCAATCGGCAGAACTACTGCTAGAACCGCTGTAGTTAAAACCAACTCACAGTTGAAGCATCCTGTCTGATCTTACTAAGATGGAGTTCACAGAATTTCAATGACACTGAAATTAAACTTGATCAGACTGATTTTTTTTATCTTATCTTTTAAATTTCCCCACATGCAAGTTTATACCACAAAAATAAAGACAATCAGTATACAATTAAGCAGTCTCTGAACAAACAGTCTATTAAACTTTAAATGATATCAATGGTGAGGTGAATTTATATTATTTAGACTGTAAGAGTCTAATATCGGAGTATCATCTCCCTGGGAAATACAATAGAAAGACAAAGTAAAACTGACCGTATTTATCCGATTCTTCTTCTGAAAACCACTACTGATGATCATCTATAATGTTCCATGAAAGTCCATCACAGATCACAGAGTAGTCACTGAAAGTATGAATCACACAATCACCACTGACAGAAACATTCAGAATAACAGGTCCTGTCTACAAGAAATAAACAGGCCAAATCAGTACTAAATATTGAAAATAAATTAATAAACGCTTAATCAATACTCACATTTGAGCAGCAGCAATATTGTTCTCAAAATATCCGAACCAGAGTGAATTGGTAGCATTAGTTCACCATGCTGTCCTTCTTCCAAACACAAGTCTCTTGCACTCTGGTGAGCTGGAATATATCCGGTTATCGCACTCTAGTGGCTCCTAGTGTCATTACAAACGCTGTTTATCACATCACAAAGACCCAAAATGATCAAAAAGCATGTAATGTTAGTTGGATAGAAAATCTAATAAAGCCTTTTCTGATAAACAACTTTGTTTGCCCCAAAATACTGCAATTAGGTTCTATATTTACAAACCTGGAGATGTTACGGGATAGTTAAGGGACACAGCAAACTCCATTCAGGCTATATTCAATGTCAAACAAACATTATTTAGACTAGAATTAATAATTAAAAATAATAAGATTTTAAAGATTTTATAGACTTATTTTCTGGGCACCATCGTTAGATAGAATTTAGAATTGAACCAAGCGTTTGTATTTTCTGAAATGATAATGTATTTAATTTATTATTGTGATTATGCTTATTGTTAATGTAGCCTTTCCTGTGAGTTTATTTATGAAAAGCTACAGTAAAATCCACCTTGAAAGCAAAAGTTAAACTTTTACCACATAAGCACTCTGAATCAGGGGTGCCCAAACTTGGTCCTGGGCTAGCTAATGAGCTCTCAGTAGGCTTGCTGGAAAAGTCTTGGCAGGTGCGTTGAGGCAAGTTGGAGCTAAACTTTACAGGACACTAGCCCTCCAGGATAGAGTTTCGGCACCCCTGCTCTAGATTGACAGTGCTTCCTTGTCTAAACCAGGGGTGAGGAACCTTTTTTCAAGAGCCATTTGAGATTTTAAATGCATTTTTAAAGAGTCATATGGGCTGTGTGTCTATAACAAAACCTTTATATTTATATATACACAAAACCTTTATTTATGCCCATGCATAATTCAGAAATAAACAAATATGACGCACCACAATGTATGAAGTAAGGCCAATTTACATTTACATTTAGCAGACACTTTTATCCAAAGCGACTTACAAATGAGGACAAGGAACCAATTTACACAACTATAAGAGCAACAATGAATAAGTGCTATAGGCAAGTTTCAGGTCTGTAAAGTCTAAGAAGGAAAGTATTAGTAATTTATTTTATTTTTTTTTTGGGTACAGTTAGTGTGATATCCAGAGAGGCAATTGCAGATTAGGAAGTGAAGTGGAGACTAAATAGTTGAGTTTTTAGTCGTTTCTTGAAAATAGCGAGTGACTCTGCTGTTCTGATGCAGTTAGGGAGTTCATTCCACCAACTGGGCAGATTGAGCGTGAGAGTTCGCGAAAGTGATTTCTTCCCTCTTTGGGATGGAACCACGAGGCGACGTTCATTTACAGAATGCAAGTTTCTGGAGGGCACATAGATCTGCAGAAGTGAGAGCAGATAAGAAGGAGCAAGGCCAGAAGTCGCTTTGTAGGCAAACATCAGAGCTTTGAATTTGATGCGAGCAGCAACTGGCAGCCAGTGCAAACGAATGAGTAGCGGAGTGACATGGGCTCTTTTAGGTTCATTGAAGACCACTCATGCTGCTGCGTTCTGGAGCAGTTGAAGAGGCTTGATAGAGTTAGCTGGAAGCCCAGCTAGTAGAGAGTTGCAGTAATCCAGTTTGGAGAGAAGAAGAGCTTGAACAAGGAGTTGAGCTGCATGTTCAGTTAAGAAGGGTTGGATCTTTCTGCTGTTATAGAGTGCATATCTGCACGATCGAGCAGTTCTACAAATGTGGTCAGAGAAGTTTAGTTGGTCATCAATCGTTACTCCAAGGCTTTTCACCATTTTGGATGCAGTAATGGTTGCCCCATCCATCTGGATTGAAAAGTTATGGTGTAGAGTCGAGTTGGCAGAAACTACAAGCATTTCCGTTTTTGCAAGGTTAAGCTGAAGATGATGATCTTTCATTCAGTGTGAAATATCCAACAGGGAGGCTGAGATGCGAGCTGGAACCGAGGGATCATCAGGATGAAAAGAGAGGTATAGCTGGGTATCATCAGCATAGCATTGGTAGGAGAATCCATGTTTCTGGATGACTGGTCCTAGAGATGACGTGTAGATGGAGAAGAGAAGTGGCCCAAGAACAGAGCCTTGAGGTACCCCAGTGTTTAAATTTTTTTTTCTTTTTGCCATCGCCACCCGAATGTTTGAATTTACGTGCGTGAGGTTACCATCGAAAATGTAAGAAATATAACTTACCCTTTATTGTTGTCGCTATTCAAGTGAAACCACAGCACAACGTATGCGCATTGGTTGAAACGTCCTTTTATTGTAAACTGAGTTCTTATTAATTTTGCTGTAGAAAATACAATATAAAGAAAACTGTAATTGTACTTGCAAACTCATAATTAAAAATGTTGAATTACTAATTGAAAAGAGACAGCAGGAGAACCACATATTTTTGATCAAAGAGCCTCATGTAGCTTCCAAGCCATAGGTTCCTTACCCCTGGTCTACATGGGTCTCAAACTCAATTTTTAGAGGGCCACAGCTCTGCACACTTTTGCTCCAACCTTAATCAAACACAGCTGATTCAAATAATCAATGTGTTTGAGACTCTTTTGAACAACTTTTGGATTAGCTGTGGTTGATTAGGGTTGGAGCAAAACTGTGAAGAGCTGTGGCCCTCCAGGAATTGAGTTCGAGAAGCATGGTCTAAATGTTTTTCACGACACAAGAATAATAGCATCTTTGGACAGAAGACATTATAGCAAGGCATCTTGTTTTTGTTAGGGTTATACTGCCACAACTATAATAAACTTCTGATGATTGCTTTGTTATTTACAGATTTTGCATTATGTAGGTTAATATGCTACTCACTGGTGCAGTATTTTAAAGTACTGAAACATCTTTAAAATACTTAAAAATACTTTAAAACATGCATTTGCTTCAAGGCAATTGATAAATAATGTAGAATTTTAATTTCATTTATACTGTGGATATTTCTTATTGCTTGAAATTAAGCTGTTCAGTATGGATGTTTTTTTATTGTTATTATTGTCTTATATATTATTTAGAATTTTTTATATTTTATTTATTTTATTGAGTGATGAACTCTGGTGTGACATGATTTTTTTTTTTCTTTTGGATTAATAAAGTTCAAACAAAGAAACAAACAAAGAAACAAAATATAAAATATACAATATAAAAAGGTCTTATTTTAAAAAATAAATAGATAAATATATATATATATATATATATATATATATATATATATATATATATATATATATATATATATATAAACATTAACAATTCTTGCTGCATATCTTGTTTTATATTTTCACAGGTCCTATTGTGCATAGTAAAACAACTTCAGTGAAAGAACTGAGGATAAATGACTCCATAAATCTAAAACAAAATACAGGGCGTCTCCTGTTTGAATTCCATGACAAAGGCTTGACCCTCTTTATATCAAAAAGGTCTTTCTAGTCTGCTGTAAAATATTTTATTGCACTTTTTTTAGTCTTTGTTTAAACGGAGAAAGCACAAGTTTTGTGTCGAGGCGATTGTCTGAGGAGCGGCGATTGAGTCTACACGGTTCTCATGTGACAGTTAAGTTCACAGCGCCGCCCAGCAGAGCTTCATTTTTCACTGCTAGTTGTAGGTGAAGGTTACTCCTCTGAGAAATGGCTGAAACTGCTCCAGCTCCCGCTGCCACGCCGGCAAAAGCTCCCAAGAAGAAAGCGGCGTCCAAGCCCAAGAAAACGGGCCCAAATGTCCGCGACCTCATCGTCAAGACTGTGACTGCGTCCAAGGAGAGAAACGGCGTGTCTCTCGCAGCCCTGAAGAAGGCTCTCTCCGCCGGTGGATATGATGTGGAGAAGAACAACTCCCGCGTCAAAACCGCAGTCAAGGCATTGGTGACCAACGGCACTCTAGCCCAGACCAAAGGCACAGGCGCCTCCGGCTCATTCAAGCTCAATAAGAAACAAGCTGAGCCCAAGAAAGCAGCCAAGAAAACCGCCACGAAAGCCAAGAAGCCCGCCGCTAAGAAATCTCCCAAGAAGGCGAAGAAGCCGGCGGCCACATCTGTGAAGAAGGCAACAAAGAGCCCCAAGAAAGCTAAGAAGCCGGCGGCTGCCAAGAAGGCCACCAAGAGCCCCAAGAAGGCAAAGAAACCAGCAGCTGCAAAGAAAGCAGCCAAGAGCCCCAAGAAGGTGAAAGCAGTCAAGCCCAAAACGGCCAAACCCAAGGCGGCAAAGCCCAAAAAAGCGGCTCCCAAGAAGAAGTAATCTACTATTTCTGCTCGATTCTTCCATAAACTAAACGGCTCTTTTAAGAGCCACTCACATAACAGTGAAGAGCATTATTTTCAAACACTTTTAAACTACTAATCTTGAAACGGTAACTAAATATGCCACCAGAAAAATAGACCAGGGCAGGAAACGCAAACAGTTCATTTTGAAAGCAATCCCTTTCGTTCCCAAGTGAGGAAAACTTTTAAGTTTTTTTTCATCCAATTTATCTGTACTCACAATTGAATGCCTAAAATACTATACTGATGGATGCATAAATTCAGAACTAATGTAGGACGTTTTGCTTAAAGTTTACTTTAGGCATAAGTTCCCACTTGAAGCATTCGCTTCGATCTGAAAATCACATCGCTGTTAGCTTATTTTCAAAAGCTACATTAAAACATGATAAAGAAGTTATCTAAAAAACAAATAAATGTGCAAGTTTCGCCATTGTATGCAACAATAACTTATCCTGAATAAGTTTTTTTGAGCGGGAAAAGCAACTGTCTGTCAGTCGTCTGCTGGGAAAAAAAAAAAAAGTAATGCTCTGCCATTGGTCAGAATGTTCACGTCACACTGCGACATAAATGCAACAGCCAATCAAACGCCTCAACAACAACTGCCCTCCTATTAAAAAGCTGAGTATGCAGCCTGCGTACATCAGTCTACTAGAGCTCCGTCTAGCATCACATCTATAATGGCAAGAACCAAGCAGACCGCCCGTAAATCTACCGGAGGAAAGGCTCCGAGGAAGCAGCTCGCCACTAAAGCTGCTCGTAAGAGCGCTCCCGCTACCGGCGGCGTCAAGAAGCCTCACCGCTACAGGCCCGGAACCGTGGCTCTGAGAGAAATCCGCCGTTATCAGAAGTCCACCGAACTACTGATCCGCAAACTGCCCTTCCAGCGTCTGGTGAGAGAAATCGCTCAAGATTTCAAGACTGATCTGCGTTTTCAGAGCTCCGCTGTCATGGCCCTGCAGGAGGCTAGCGAGGCTTATCTGGTGGGTCTGTTTGAGGACACAAACCTGTGCGCCATTCACGCCAAGAGGGTCACCATCATGCCCAAAGACATCCAGCTGGCCCGCCGCATCCGCGGAGAGCGCGCTTAAAGCTACTGCTGACGCATTAAAACCCAAAGGCTCTTTTAAGAGCCACCTCAATGTGTCTAGAAAAGATGATTTTTCTTTGCGTTTAATCTCAATGGTACTGTGTACTAAAAATATGTAAAGGCAGTGGCTAAGTTGACTTTATTAATGCCAATAGGAGCTAGATTTGTAAGCAGCTCGACTTTATTTTGTTTAACAGGGACAATGCCCATTAATCAACAGTAAAACACTAAATAAGTCCGAGTTAGCCACAAGGGCTAATTTTCATCTGTTGCCCCTGCCAGATTTTAAAAGGCAACCTAAAATAAAAAATTAACATACAAAAACAGTAAAGTTACATATGACAAAAGGATAAAAAGCATGAAATAAAAATATCTTAAAATGTTAGACAAAAGAATTACACATGATTACTTGGGTAACGCTTTCTTTTACAACCCGCAAAGTACCGCGTAAGTACAGTGAAATTAAAGTGTACTTTTCTGTACGTACTAAGTAAGTATAATGAACGTATGTGTAGGTATAAGGGAACAAACCGTAATGCTTGGGTAAAAAGGGGGTAACAACCAGATGTTCATCACGAAAATTACCGCGTAAGTACAGTGAAATAACGGTGTACTTTTCTGTACCAATAGTGTTAAGTATAAATAACGTTTACGTAGGTATAAGGGAACAAACTGTAATGCTTGGGTAATAAGGGGGTAACAACCAGATATTCAGCATGAAAAGTACCGCGTAAGTACAGTGAAATAACGGTGTACTTTTCTTTAAATTGCAAAAGAACAAACCATTATGTTTGCGTAATAGGGGAGTAACAATAAGATATTCATCACGCAAAGAAGTATATTAAGTTTACGATGTACTTTTCTTCAAGTATTGTATACATATAAAGAATTATGCAAGGATGGTGACAACCTATTGCTATCTGCAAATGTACTGTATATGCACCTGCGTGAGTACATTAGTACTCTTATTCAGTGCTTGGGTTTTATATGGGGTGTTTAATGAATAAAAGGTTTACAACCTGTGAAATTATGAACCCTTATTGTATACTGTATGTTTTTTAAATCTGCAATTCAATATAAAATATATTTCCATACACTACTTACCTTATGTTTACTCGTCGATCTCACCAAAGCCATCAATGTCTCCATAACTCACTATCAACAAATAACTTTGCATGATATAGGCCTACCGTCAGGGTTCAATGCAGATGAAAACAGCCTCGCATCTTTACTGCTGTTGCACAGGGGGATAACTGTTGCATTTCAGTAAATGTATAGCTGATGCTTTATAAAAAAAATTAGTAATTTGGTCTTCAATCAATAAATACTGCTGCTGTAGTTTACTCTGTTCTTAGTGTTTAAGTATACACTAGTGTGTTAAAGTTCAGCTTCTTCCCTCTTTGTTCCCTGTAGTTAAAGGGTGAATACAATATTTGTTCCCCCCTTGTTCCATGTACTTACAGGATAAATACCACATTTGAGGGTTGTAAATTAAAGTGAAGCATTGTTCCTCCATTGTTACCCCCTTGTTCCCTGTACTTACAGGGTAAATACCACATTTGAGGGTTGTAAATTAAAGTGAAGCATTGTTCCTCCATTGTTACCCCCTTGTTCCCTGTACTTACAGGGTAAATACCACATTTGAGGGTTGTAAATTAAAGTGAAGCATTGTTCCTCCATTGTTACCCCCTTGTTCCCTGTACTTACAGGGTAAATACCACATTTGAGGGTTGTAAATTAAAGTGAAGCTTTGTTCCTCTCTTGTTACCTGTAGTTAAAGAGTAAATACAACATTTGTTCCCCCCTTGTTCCCTTTAGTTTACAATGTAAAATTTTGAAGGCAGTAAAATAAATATACAAACACACAATATATTTCTTCTTTACTTTGTAACCTTTATTTTAATAAATAAGCATTTTAAAACACTTCATCTTAATCAAACATTGTCTCGTCTATCATTGCCTATACTCATTCATTTTCTCTTCGGCTTTGTCCTTTTGTTAATCTGGGGTCACCACAGTGGAATGAACCACCAACTTATCCAGCATATGTTTTACGCAGTGGATGCCCTTCCAGCTGCAACCAATCTCTGGGAAACATCCATACACACCCATTCACTACGGACAATTTAGTCTACCCAATTCACCTGTACCGCATGTCTTTGGACTGTGAGGGAAACCGGAGCACCCGGAGGAAACCCACGCGAACGCAGGGAGAACTCCACGCAGAAACGCCAATTGACCCAGCCGAGGCTCGAACCAGCAACCTTCTTGATGTGAGGAAACAGCACTACCTACTGTGCAACTGTGTTGCCACCCAGCTGCAACCCATCACTGGGAAACATCCACACTCATACACTACGGACAATTTTAGCTTACCCAATGTCACCGCATATTTTTTGACTTGTGGGAGCACCCGGAGGAAACCCACACTAACATGGGGAGAACATTCAAACTCTACACAGAAATGCCAACTGACCCAGCCGAGGCTCGAACCAGTGACCTTCTTGCTGTGAGGCGATTGTGCTACCCACTGCGCCTGCCTATACTCAAACAGCAAAATAACACATTATTTCCTTCCCCCTATTTTTCTGGCATCTCTTGCTTGGCTTCCTCTTCTGCTCTTCTCAGCTTCCACTGAGGACTCTGATGGTGAGTGGCTGATGAAATCCCATGGGTCTTGCTGCTCTGCATTTATATAAAATTTATGAACAGACATTAAGGCTTTTAGTAAGCTATAGACATGTTTGTTTATTTTGCTGTTTAATGTGTGTGTAGTGGTTGTCCAACAATTTCACACTCTAAACATTTACAGATACCATACAGACACTATACATTACTATCAAACAAAAGTACTATCATCAGATCATATGGGAGATTGTGATCACACAGAAACGCCAACTGAGCCAAGGTTCGAACCAGCGATGGATTAAAACAGAAATTAATACATTGAAATTGTAGTTAGACGTAAACAAATTGTCAATAAATATAAGTAAAACAATTGTTACGCAATTACATTTGGGAAATTAAAAAGTAGTCACAATATTAATTTACACACTGATAATGAAGTTACAGAAAAAGTATATATAAAGATTCTTGGTATTATGTTTGATCTTAAAAATAGTTGGAAACCGCAAATGAATAATGTGATATCAAAATTAGTAAAAACTGTAGCAATAGTGAATAAACCAAGATTGATCTTGGACAGTATATCAATGTATTATATAACACACTTATGTTGCCATTGAAGGCTTCGGATTTCTGCTTTCCAGTCCATCTCATCATAGACCAACGTTTATCCTTTTCATCATCCTGTTTCTTAGTATTTAACTGTGAATTGATTTTAATTAATGAATAAGTTAACACATTGCTTAATATAAGAATGTTCAGTGCATTTGCCAGTCTCTTTATACCTATTTTCAGGAGCCAGCAAACTAGGTCAGAGGTCATGGAGATCTTGAGTGGAACTGAGGACTGGAAACAACTGTTTCTATTGTTATTTCTAGGAGTTAATACTGTCTAAAATGTCTAAAGTGATTTTGCTATAGTTTTACGGTTAAATCTTTTAAAGTGATTCTACTTTTTATTCAAGATAGACTTTGTGTAGTAAGAATATAACTGCCTGAATGTAGATTATACCAGTTTTTAACCAGTTTTGATAAAGACGGCTGACGGTACACTCAGCCTTGGATAAAAAACAGATTATACTCTATGTGTGTGTGTTCTATTTGATTGTTGATCCGTTTCACAGGTCTGGAGTCAGCTCTAATCAGTCTAAGGGATGTCTGACGTTTATGCTTAAGATATTGTTCAGAATTGTACGCACGAACCTCACGTGGAAATGTTCCTAGTCTATCTGTGTTTTAACCAATCAGGTTAGAACACCTTTATGTATGACGCAGTTAATGACGTTATGTGAGAGTATAATTGTTATTGATTGGTGATTGTAAGCAGAGCGGCCTAGGAACTCATTGCGAGTGTTGAAGCTAGCTTCTGCGGATAAAACTGCAAACTATCTTCAGTAAACTTGATTTATTTATTTAAATCTCTGACTCCGGCTCTTCTTCATCTACCAGACTGGTCATTCTTTGGGTTAAACTGTAAACTATCCCTACACCATATATGAGTTATTGTGTTGGAAATTGGGGGAATTCATATAATTCTAATTTACGATCCTCATGTACAATGCAGAAAAAAGTAATTAGACTGATATGAAGGATTCGGATTTCTGCTTTCCTATCCGCCTCATCATGGACCAGCGTTTATACTTTATCATCCTGTTTCTCAGCATTTAACTGTGAATTGATTTTAACTAATGAATAAGTTAATATAAGTTAACACCGCTTATTACAAGAATGTTCAGCGTCCTTGTTTCTTTTTTGCCTGTCTATTTTAACTTTGCTTTCAGGAAACACACAAAAAACAGGTCATAGGTCATGGAGATCGCTCTCTCTCTCTCTCTGAACAGGACTACTGATGCAGAGGAGAAGAAAAACACCTGTTCTAGTTGTCCTGATATTGTCTACAGTAATTTAGCTGTTCGATTGATCTGTTTTGATTGTAATTCTTATTAAGTAATTCCTTTTGTATGTAGATAGACACTGTGTAGTGAGGATTTTGTCTTGAACCAGTTTGATAACACAGCTGAACGTACAAGAAACATCCTTGAGTTTTTTTTAACACAGATGGTCTCTTGCGTCTATTGTGTTCCTGGTTTAGCTTTTCACAGGTCGGAGATCAGCTCCTAATAACTTAGGGTTGACCTAACCCCCAGGAACCATGTCGCCATCCATATCTGGAGTTTCTTTCTTGACGCACACATTAAGGCTATCCATATCTGGAGCTAGATACTTCATTGACACACACATTTAGATTTGTCTATTTTTGTTGTAACCAATGAGACCGTTTTTTTCCTGGATCCCACCTTTTCTGGACTTGTGTAAAGAGTATAATTGCTGTATTGATGTACTGTAAGGCAGAGCGGCCTGGGAACTCGTGTTGAAGCTGGCTTCTGCTGATTAAACTGCAAACTATCTTCAGTAAACTTGACTTATTTATTTAAATCTCTGACTCCGGCTCTTTTTCATCTACCTGACTGGTCATTCTTTGGGTTAAACTGTATACCATCCCTACAGATAGAAAACATGGGGTATTTGGAGCATACAAATCCTTTATTTTTTTAATTGAAGATACTCAAGTTCAGTGATTTGGTTAAATTTAAAACAGCACAATTTATGTTTAAAGCTATAGGAATAAATTACCTCTGAAATGTATACAAAAGTTTTTTTTGAAGAAAGACAAGGGGGACATAATCTGAGAGAAGAACAACATTTAAAATCAAATCAAGTTCAAGTATAATGATTTGTTCATTCAGTGAAGAGAAATAAATAATAATAATAATAATAAAAAAAACATGGCAGGGTGGGGGGTGGGGGGTTAGTAAAACAAAAAAAAGGGTAAGAGAAAAATGTACTTACAACCAACTGAATGCAGTCACTAAACAACAGTCAAACGTTGAGATACACTGTCAATGCTGAAAGAAAATAAACAAATTAAAACGAAGGAGAGTGCTTCTATTAAATGGATAGCAATTTGATAAGTAAATTTAAGTTGTAAAACATTGCTACTTTTTGTTTCCCCAGGGCATCAAACCTTTTCCAGTATCAGAAAATACATGTCCACAACCCACAGGGATGTAGTTGGAGGTTTATTTTATTTCCAGTGGAGTAGAGCTGTGGCGCCTACCTGTGAGGTAAATCAAGTCATTTAGTACTAAATTGGGACCAAATTTTCGGTACCCCAATAACGGCTACATCAGGGGGCGTATTCATTTTGAACAGCCTACATTACAGACATTATTACGTATTTAGACTTGAGCAGAGCACTTAACAAAAAGAAACAAGCATTATTTCAACTTTAGTCAGTAAACGTGACCTCACCTAACTGCTTTTCCTGTAGATTCTTCGAAAGACAAGTAACATTGTGAAGCACCGCCCACGCAGGTTTCAACTAGGTCCTATACATGATTGTAAAGGTCGCTTGTGTGCACTTGAGGCGGTAATTAAGCGTGTTGATTCTAAAATCATGTCTGGAGTAGGCAAAAGACAACGTTGCCGAATGGTATTGCGCGACAACCTCCATGGAATTACCAAAACCGCCATTCGTCGTCTCGCTCGTCGTGGTGGAGTCAAGCGTATCTCTGGTTTAATCTACGGGGAGACCCGCGATGTGCTCAAGGTGTTCCTTACGAACGTCATCCGTGACGCCGTTACCTACACCGAGCACGCCAAGAGGAAGACCGTGACCGCCATTGATGTAGTTTACGCGCTGAAACGACAGGGACGCACTCTGTACGGGTTCGGCGGTTAAACATCTACGACCAGTTTCATAACCCAAAGGCTCTTTTAAGAGCCACCCATGATATCATATAAAACGAGCTTTTACTGTTTATATCTTTGTAGAGTTTAAGTATTAATCAAATTAACAATTCCTTACGAATTTATTTGGCGCCGCGATAATTCTGCTGAGTCATGGCCGTTAGGCCAGAGCTATAAATAGCCGTTATGAACGACTGATCAGCGTGTTAGCCTATATGAATGGACATTTCTTAGACTGTTGTTGCTAATTTGACTGTCATGTTGCCAACAGACATTACTGTTAATATATTTGAGTTTAGTATGCACATTTGATGATGAATGTTATTGTTGCAGCTCGTTTCAGTCAATGTTAATGACAATTCATAGTCAATAATAGTTTGCAATTATTTCTTCATTTGTTTTTCCTTTGTAGACCATTACATCTGATTCATTACTCACTACCATTACCAATAATCGAGCAATCTGATGCATATGTTGGAGAAAATAAATGTTTCAAACGTCAACACTTCTCCTGCCCTCCTGATTCTCTGACCGGAATCCGGTCCATATTTGGCCACCTCAACCAGTGGAAAAATTTACATGTAGTAAGGTTTACTACATTATTATGACCCTTCGAGCCGGATTAAGAGCAATATAAACCCAGTATGGACCAAACAGGAAGTAACACTGAGAAAATGGACAGACCTCGCCGCAGGACAAATCTGCCACCTCACCTGGATGATTATGAAGTTGGTTACCAACCTATACAGGACCCTCCTCCAAAAGCTTCCACACCCTGTCCCAGTCATTCTAGAACCAGCTCAAGGAAAACATCCGGCAGTGGTATCAGCTCTCATTCCAGGAAGAGTAGACATTCTGTTACCTCCACTGGTGTTTATTTCCCACCAGAACTTTCTAGTGTCTAGACAGCTGTCTTGGAGGAGAAGATTAAGCAGAGACAGTTTGATAGTCTACTGCAGCAGATGCAGGAGGACTCACTAGCTGACGTGGAATATCAGCGCCTGCAGACACCAGCAAAGGAAGCACAGCGTATTATGGAGGAGGCTTTTGCAGCTAAGGAAGCTTTGTTTAAGCATCTAGAGAGACAGCAAAAGCTACAACAGGCAGAGACTGAGCTGGAAGTAGCCAAACTTGTATCTTCAATGCTCACTAAAGACTCTGGTTCAAACACTCCCAGGTCTTCAGGCTCACCAGACAGCCCATCGCCGCCACCTCAACCTGATCAGACTAATGCATCCAGGAGCACTCCTGTTCCCAGCTTCCACCTCAGATACCAACAGTCACATCATGTGATGACATCTCACAGCTGTCACTTAAGGCTGATTTATACTTTGTGTCAAACGCCGGCGTATGCTACGGTGCTGACGCATAGTCCTTCGCCGTGGCTGACGTGCACCTCTCAAAAAAATGTAACTACACGTCACAACGACGCGTAGCGCAAGCTCTGTGGTTGGTCGGCTTGGTAGCGCTGACGAGTCTGGGCGGGACCGAGAGCCGCGTGAATGGTGCAAGCCTGATGGAGCGATTGTTTACAAGTGTAGAGTCCCGCAAAGGAGCTCCTGATGGAAAGTTTTGTTTTGTGTTTACCTCATAGTTAAAGTTGTTGCATGTCCGCCAGTTCCTGCCTCAAAATGAGCGAGTTTGAGCCACTTTTACATCCCGGAAGTGTTCAAGATAAGCAAAACAGCAGCGAAGAAACTCGACACAGAAGAAAATTTACACCTCACTGCCCAGTAGCGTTTCGGAAGTGTTAATGCAGACCAACAGAGACAGCGCGCAGAAGTATAAATGCACAGCTACGCGCGTTGCATGCGCCGTGGGTCAAGCCGGTCACTTGACGCAAAAGTATAAACCAGACTTTACACCACTGGCACTAACATTACCTACCGCCACAGTGAGTGTTTCCTCTCCTTCAACATTCCTGTATTACAAGCAGTTTCATCACCAGTCTTTAGAGTATCTGCGACTGCTTCCAAAACTGTGCCATTAAGCACAGTGACATCAGTTCCACATGTGACTCATCAGCCTTTCTCTGTAGCGACAGTTATGTCCACTGTTGCCCAGTCTACGAGTAGGAGAGGGATATCTGTACCACAGCAGCCTAACTCTGCCCCACTGACAATGAATAGGAATCCATATGTGATGCAGCAGTCATTCATCCCTCCAGTTAGCACACATGCATATCAGCAGCAAACTCCAATCACCAGCCAGCAGGCCTCAGCTATGCCAACCACTGCCAGATCTGCTCAGCCACATTCATTCATGCCTCTACCCCTCACATACCCTGGTACAGAGCTGTTTGCCTCAGCTTATGGCATCCCACAACCAAAGCTACCAGCAGAGAGTGGTAATGAAGGTGACTTTGCCTTGTTAAAACTGGCCCTGGATAATTTGCCAAGTAATCACAACTATCTTAGTGAGGAGTATAAATATAATGTACTGTTAAGTCATTTGAAGCTACCCAGCTCACAGCAGCTAGCGAAAGCTTATAAGTATCATTCACATCCATACTCAGCTGCACTACAAGCACTTCAGGACAAGTACGGACAGCCATGACAACTCGTACAATCAGAGCTGGGTGCCATCATGAATAGCCCACCACTTAAGCAGGTCGCACATTAGAAGCGCCGCAACACGGCGCGCACATGACATTTTAAAGTATCAAACACCAGACTTGCACATTCGAATGATATTTAACATGAAACTAATCAGAAGGCGCTCTGTGGCGCGGCTGAAAAATGAACTGCGTCCTGAGCCGTGGACGGGCGCCGCCGACAGCTGCCGACTTGCGGCGCCAGTGTGTGTATCCTGATAGAAACCTATGTTTAGAATTCTAAAATGCATGGCGCTGCGCTGCGCCGAGCAGCGCTTCTGGTGTGCGACCTGCTTTAGACTGGGTGATGCTAATGCCTTTGACATTCGCCTTAAGGCAACGCAGTGGCGCAGTGGGTAGCACGTTCGCCTCACAGCAAGAAGGTCACTGGGTCGCTGGTTCGATCCTCGGCTCATTTGGCGTTTCTGTGTGGAGTTTGCATGTTCTCCCTGCATTCGCGTGGGTTTCCTCCGGGTGCTCCGGTTTCCCCCACAGTCCAAAGACATGCGGTACAGGCGAATTAGGTAGGCTAAATTGTCCGTAGTGTAGGAGTGTGTGTGTGTGTGTGTGTGTGTATGTGGATGTTTCCCAGAGATGGGTTGTGGCTGGAAGGGAATCCGCTGTGTAAAAACTTGCTAGATAAGTTGGCGGTTCATTCAACTGTGGCGTCCCCAGATTAATAAAGGGACTAAGCCGACAAGAAAATTAGTGAATGAATGAATTTTCGCCTTATCAGTCCAATTATTAGTAGGCATGTTAAGGACCCTTGAAGGTCAAAATGGGTACGAGTTTATGTGCGGCTCTCATGTGGATCGATGTAGGGTCCAGCCAGTTGGTCCAATGACTGTATCCACTGGTGGATGAAGGTTCACTGCATGTTTGGTCTTTCCAGTGCACAATGTTGATCTATATTAAACTTAACTCATATCTGACTCCAATTTTAGTATGAGGTGGTTTATTAGAATATTAATATGTTTATCCTCGTTTTATCTGACTCCAATTATAAAACATTGAGTAGGTTATTTTGTTTGCTTTCACATTAGTTTAGATTATGATTGAATATTCTTTTCGGTTCATCATTTTATGTTATTCTTGTTCATTGGGATTCCTTTAACATCCTGAATCTTGTACCAGCCGAGTATACAATTTCTTAAATACAAGCATGTCAGTCTTGGTCACTAAACAGTGGCGATTGACCGCTATCCTAAACCGGCAGAACCCTACTTACCTAGATTAAGATATTTTTTATGCAGTCCCCATAGATCTGCTACCTCCTAAATCAAACAGAGCTATTTAGTCATATAATGATCATTACTATAGAATTAAGCAGACCAATCGTACTTAAACTATTAGTAACTTTGAATAATCACTATACAATCTAAATAGTATGTTAAGTTTATCGGGAGAAGGACTATCCCCTTAGATATCTTTTTATAGTCTAAGTATACATGAATTAATGCCAATGTGTTAGTCGGAGCTCTAGAGACATCGTATAGCGTGCTGCAATGCTCCGTCTACAGTGTTCTAGTCCGCTACTAACCTGTACAGGGGCTTGTGGTGCTATGAAATTACCACAATCTACTAGAGATAATAACACGAACTCTGTTTGAATAATTCCAAACATAACAATTCATTTATCAGGTAAATGAGCCAATTCATTCAGTCAATTCATAAACGATCAACAAAGACATCAAGTTATCAAAGACAAATCCAAGATTAAGTGATGCATACCTGACTTTAAAATATACATAATGTGGAGCGTAAGCTCCACATTACGGGCTGATCTGGGTAAGCAGAATCGCCCTGAGCCTTTCTCAAACCTTACCTTATATAATCCAAGAATTCCCTCAAGGAAAGGGGTGTGTGCATAACAAAAGGCATTCACACTTAGTGCTGCCTGTGGAAAAGTCACACCCTTCACAGTGGTTCAAAAGATGCCTGAAGTTATACATTTATTGTTTTGATTATGTCTATTTCTGAGAGAATGAGACCATTGTACCAATCGCACTGAGACATTTGAAATGATATCAAACATGAAAGATAAAGTCACTTTGGTTATTCTAGAGCATTCAAACATTGAAATGACCATATGTGTGAGTTGGGGTGGTTGAAGCCGAGCTTCAGCAGACTCAGATGCAAATGCAGCAGGAACTGGTTTTTCCCGCATTCCCACCTGCTGGGTTGTGGAGTCAATTGGCCCTGTTTTCAGCTCATGTTTTGAATTGTCAAAGACATCAAAAATATTTGTAATATTTCAATTCTTACAATCGACTACTCAGCAAGTTACCACCTGCCTATCGTGACAGCTTCGTTGAGAACTGTCTAAGCCGGGGTATCCTCCAGACAGGCACAGACAGAACCTATAAACGCCCCGATCTGGCCACCTGGTTAGAGATTAAGTCCCAGGAGAAGCGAATTTCCAGCCGAGCTGCAGCTTTGTTCCCGAGTGACCTAGGTAAACCCACAACATATTCCCGTCCAAAGGAGCGATTCACACCTGTCCTGTTGACCAGCAAGAAAAACATAAAAAGTCCTGATACTGCAGCACAGAGATCTAGCCCAAAGTCAAAGCCCAGGCCATATTGTCCTCATTGTGGTAGCCAAGACTGTTATCTGAATGCATGGGAAGAGTTTAAGAAACTAACTACAGCTCAAGTTACCACTTGAACTAGAGAATGAAAGTGCTGCTGGAGGTGTGGTCAAACTCATGAAGTGGCGGTCTGCAAACTTAAGCGCCCATGCAGTGTCTGCAAAGGAGTTACATCTTACCGTTCTACATAATTCAGTTCAAGACACTTCTAGAGCTGTTCTCATGGTAAGTTACCAGAATTAATCTGGATCGACAAAACTGTTCCCCCTAAGGTCATGCTGAAAGTGATTAAAGTCCTGCAACACAGTGATCAAAAAACTATGGAAACCCATGCTGTTCTCGATGATGTATCAGAGAGAACATTAGTGCTCCAGCCAGTTGTGCAACAGCTTAAATCCTCTGGTTCCCCTGAACTGCTCTCGCTGCAGACCATTTACCAGTTTCACGCTGAACTTACAGGATCATCTGTATCATTTGAGGTGTCATCTGTATCCAATCCTACAAAGAAGTTTGCGATACACAACACATTCACTGTCACAGGTCTGTTTCTAGCTGAACGCCATTACCCAATGGCTGCTCTGCAAAGGGCTTATAGACACCTAAAAGATCTGCCACTGCCTCCCATGGATAAAGTGAGACCACTGCTCCTCATTGGGTCCGACATGCCGCCTCTCCTGACACCAGTTCAGCCTGGATGCAAGGGCCCACCAGGGGGACCCATTTCTGTTCGTACACAACTAGGATGGTCTCTCCAAGGCCCCATGAGCCCGATGCAGCCCTCAATATGAAGACACTGCTGACTTCCTCTTATGTCAGTTCCCACCTATGATAACCTGTTTCAACATGTGGGGAGACTGGCAGGTGGACACACTCCCATACAACACCAAGATGGTTACCAGGTCCAAACAGGACAAGGAGGCTTACACTTTGCTGCAGAATGCAACCGTCAAGAGTGACTGTGGATGGTGTACAACGATATGCTACACCATTACCGAGACGGACCCCTTGAACCTTACTCCACGCAGATAAAACAGCAATTCTCCCACGTTTACGCCATACTGAGCGTACCCTTGAAAGGAATCCTGAAAGGGCCAAAGTCTACTGCAGTGAGATTACTAAATTGGAGTCAGCTTGTTATGTAGCAAAAATAACAGCAGAGGAAGCAAACCATAGTGCAGAGTCCTGGTTCATTCCGCACCACATGGTGCACCATAATAGTAAAGACAGAATTATCTTCAACTGCTCCTTCCAGCACCATGGACAGTCTTTGAATGATCAGCTACTGCCGGGGCCAACGTTGGGACCATCCTTACTAGGCGTCCTCCTGAGATTCTGCCAGCACACAGTTGCTATCAGTTGGCACATCAAAGGTATGTTCCACCAGGTCCGTTTGTTGCCAGGAGACAAATCTGTGCTACGTTTCCTCTGATGAGGAATGTGCAGAGACGCAAAACCTGAAATATATGAATGGCAGGTGCTCCATTTGGCACATTGTGCAGTCCCTGTTGTGCCATTCATGCCCTCCAACACCACGTCCAAGAGCACAAAGAAGATAAAACTGTATTGGTTGATATTGTGGAACATTCGTTTTATGTTGACAACTGCCTTCATAGTGTACCAATGGTGAGTGAGGTTAAGGTGATAGTAGATGGGTTACACCAGCTCCTTTCTGAAGGTGGCTTTGAAATTAGACAGTGGGCATGCAATATACCATCCGTAACCGAACACCTACCTTCAGAGGCCAGGTTTGCAAGTAGAGAGCGCTGGTTAGCACAAAGCAGTACTGATCTTCAGGAGCCCACTCTTAGGTTACGGTGGGACTGCATCAATGACACCTTGGGATACAACTTGCACTCTGTAGAGGCTGTTGAACCTACCCTGAGGAACAAATATAAAACATTGGCGAGTCCGTACAACCCTTTAGGGTTCATTACACCATTCACTACTAGAGCCAAGGTTATCATCCAGGACCTCTGGAAGCACAACCTTGGTTGGGACGACCCCGTAGAGCCATCACATTTGAGAAATACTTGGCTTACCTGGGTAGAAGAACTCCCTACACTTACCAAGATGCAATTCCCTCGGGCATATACCCCAGCCTCTGCTGACAACCCATCGGCTATACGAGAGCTTCATGTCTTCAGTGATGCGTTGGAGAGAGCCTATGGTTCAGTGGCCTATCTACGCACCACCGATGAGCAAGGACAAGTCCATATTACCTCTGTCTCGGCCAGGTCTAGAGTCACGCCTCGCAAATGCCTATCTGTGCCATTTTTGGAGTTATGTGCTGCCCTTACTGGGGCCCAACTGGGGAGAATAATCCAAGCTGAGTTGACCGTACCAATCTACAAGGTCACTTTCTGGTCTGATTCTACAACAGTGTTGTATTGGTAAACATCTGAATCGTGCCACTACAAAATTACAGCCATATCATTGGAGTCATTGGATTTTAGATGGTGGAACGTCTGAAGCAGTTAACTTTTCCTAGTTGTGTGTAAAATTTACATAAGACTAATCCAGAGTAATTTTTTAGCTGGAATAGCATTTGTAGAGTGATGCTGTCTTTGTTTACAAAAACAACTGTAATTAAATTGTGAATAAATATGGTGCTTGTTAGCGATTAGTAAATTGCATTAGTTATTTGGTTTGTTTTTCCAAGTATAATTCGTAGTGGGAACAAAAACTGTAATCGTCCGTTATCTATGAGAAAGTGATGCATGAGCGGGACCTACAGTTTCAAAGCATATAATTGGTATATTTGTTTGCAGGCGTTTCTACTTTATGACCAATAAAATCAGCATCAAACATTTATTGCACCAATCAAAAAATGTTGGTTATTCCTTATAAAATTTGCATAAGAGATTAATTAATAGCCAGTATTTTTAATCAGTCTGTCATAAAGCGAACATGATTAAACAACTGAAGACAGCACCTGAGAAGGGTTTCAAAAAGGAGCTGACAAAAACTGCCAGCAAAGGAGGAAAGAAGCGCAAGTGGACCTGTAGCAGCCCTTCAGCTTTCAATAAATAGACAGTTATTGACGGGTGCATTTAAAATGGTTTACTTGGATGCAATTAAGTTTATCACATAAATCATCACTGTCTCAGTTCTTTGTTGTATACACCAAAGCATCAAAAGACCAAAGGCACCAAAAACACCGTAAAACTAGAGAAAACAAACAACATAGAAAAATAAACAAACATTTACAAAACATCTAACATTTTGCAAATAAATCAAACAATAAACAAAACACACCTCGCTCTGCTTGCTGAAGGGACACTAAAAGCTCAAGGCATTCTTCCGAGCTGTACATGTTAGCTCGTAGACAAACGTGAATTGCTCTTACTCTGCTTTGTCTCACTTAAATCCTATCAGTCAAGAGCGCCCTCCTATGGTGAATCCAATTATGGCAAGCAAGGCGAGTGCATTAAATTATGGGCAGTTACAGGACCAGGAAGAAGAGTTATGCTATCTACGTGTACAAAGTGTTGAAGCAGGTTCACCCTGACACTGGAATCTCCTCTAAGGCGTCTCGTCTCGCTCACTATAACAAGCGCTCCACCATCACATCGAGAGAGATCCAGACCGCCGTGCGTCTGCTGCTGCCCGGGGAGCTGGCCAAACACGCCGTGTCTGAGGGCACAAAAAGTACACCAAGTACACCAGCTCCAAGTAAACCACTGTCATCTTCTGCAAACCAAATGCTCTTCCAAGAGCCACCCATACTGTCTTTAAATGAGCTTATACTTGTATTTTTAACCTAAACGCAGTGTTATTTGTTTACTCGATAAAACGCTCATCGAAGCATAAAAGAAAATCTGGTTTGAGTGCTAGAACAGTAAACGTTGAAATGAACATACGGATATTTCGAGTATTTCTAACATAATTTGGAAAGTATGTAATGTAAATGTTTTCTGTGTTTTGCTGTATGTATTGTGAGAGATCTGCAATAGGCTCTGCTTTGTCTAACAAATTTAATTATTGGCCGTTTTGAATTAAAATGAGTTTATGCAGTGTGAATTCCTATGAAGCAGTTTTTTTTAAATAAGACATTCTTCGCACATAGTAGAAAGTAGCATTTTGCTTATAATGGTCTTCACTTTTAGAGTCAAAGTCACTTTTTTTCTCTGATTGATTTTGTACCAAAGGAAATAATGTTTATTCGTTATTAAAACTGCTTTCAAATGTGTTATATAGTGTTACATGGCAGCACCTATTGGTTATTTATGTTTGTATTATGTGTCTCATTGTGGTTTTCTTTTTATTACTCCAGTTCACTTCCTTGTTTTTGCCAACTGCTGTTCCTGATTGGCTGGTTCACATCTACTTGATGCAACCAATCCTGACACTGCTTTATGCTGATTGGTTCCTCTGTGACAACTCGGTTCCAGTTTCAGCCAATCAGATTACTTCAGCTCACTATATATGTTTTTGTCTGCCAACAGATTGGCATTCATTTGTGAGCGCGACTAGTAAATGTTTTCTATACCTGCTTGTTCGCTTGATTGAACCTGTGTTTATATCCCCATTTTGTTCAGTTTTGTTGTAATATAATGTCCGACTTATCTATTATTTACACTGTGTTGTCATTTTGGTATAGTTACTGTTCTTACCTGTGTAATCATTCATTCCCTTTCCTCATGTTTCCTTAAAGAGGTTTGGTAGAAAGACTGGTAGGTAAATAGGTCACGTGACATACATTTCAACACATAGGAGTTCAACTGTCTAGAGCAGTAGTTCTCAAAATTTTTACATCAAAGACCACCTCAGAAAAAGTTTATCTCTCCAAGTACCACCAAAATGAGCAGCATTGAAATACAGTAGCGTAGTAGGCCCAGTAAAGCAACTACAACGAAAAGAAAAAAATGTGGCAGATTACCTCAGAAATATAGGCTATATATCACATATGGCGCATTATATAAATAATTTTTGATACATTTTAAAATATATATAGCTTGTGCATGACATATTTCATTCCTTCGCTTACCACTAAAAGGAAGCCCACGTACCACAGTTTGCGAACCACTGGTCTAGAGATACACTATAGGAAGGGGGTCAGCGCCAACCCGTGCATTTTTGGTTAAGTGGATAGTGTAGTTTAGGTAAGACGTCTTGGGCGTTGAAGATTTTTTTTTTTTTTACATTGTTGTTTATTATACTAGATTAGCGGGGATTTGATATTAGTAAGACTGTTTGTTTTTGATTGTTTCTTTGCTTTCTAATTTATGTTTTGTTTTGGTTGTGAATTGTAAATAGCTCACTCACTGCTTCACTTATCACCACTTGTAAAAAAATCACATTATTTGCACAGCAATTCTTGTATGTGGTCATTACTTTGAGTAACATTTACTTTGAGAGTTTGTTTGAACCAAATCCTTGATCAATTGTGCAACCCCACTTCCCTAGACTGCCCAGGGGTTGTAACATACATGCTAGTTTAACAGTCTTGTGAAAAACCTTCAGTAGCTTGAAATGGATTCGCATGAAGTTCTCTAAAACATTACAGAAAGTTGAAATATATCAGTTCATTAGCTGAAGCTTTCTTACACTCTTCTTGCATTAGATGATGGTTAACAAATGATAACACAGACATGAAGCAAATCAATAATATATTTATTACACACTTATGTTCATTTCAACAAAAATAAAAACCTTTGATTAGTAATTACTCAAGTAAACAATAGAAAAAGAAACGGGTGTCCAAAAAAAAAAAAAAATCAGAAATATACAAAGATAAATAAAATAATTCACTACTGGATAAAAACAGACATAACATAACACTTGGGCTGACCCCGAATAGTTAAAGATTTAATGCATTGTTAGGAAGAGCCTGATTTGACTGCCAATCTCTGGCATATTCACAGAAGAAAATTATGAAACGAGGATCATGCCATCTAGATTACATAAGTGCTCCTCAATGTCTGATTTCGTTGAACTTTTATCCTATTTCCTTAATATATAGCCTGTTGGCATAATGCTCTAAATAAAACAATGACCTGGAAATAAAGCTTTTATTAAGAATTTTTCATGCATGTGAATAAACCTGTAAGAGATTTGTTTTACTTTCTGTGATGTATGATCGACGGGAGTATTTAAAGGCAACAGGGTTTTAGATCATTTACAATATATAGATAATAGATTTGATAAATTAATTCTGAATTATTACAAGTGTCATTATTGCTTTTGTAAAATATGATGGAAGATGCGGTTAAGTCAACAGCTCATGTCATATCTCACAACAACTCGCACTGAAAATGGGTGTTTTAACCAGCCGGATCTCACAAGAAATCGTAAGTATTTTACGTTTTGGCAGTTTAGTGGCTAATTCGTATGGGCTCAGTCATCTGAAAATGTATGAATTTAAAAAGGAGGCGTGGCACCTAACCCCACCCCTAAACCCAACCGTCATTAGGGGATGAGCAAATCGTACAAAATTGTACGAATTCAAACGAATTAGCCACTAAATCAAAAAGTTACGAATTGCTGTGAGATTGTGTTGGTTTTAACCAATAAGATTCTCAGAAGACTTTTCTTTCTTTTACTTACACAGTACAATAGTTCTATTATCAATATTAATGTAATCGAAAATAAACAGCTTGAGAGGTAAGCTATGCAAATAGTAACGCTTCAATCTGCTTATCTGTTGAATAAAGCACTTAATGCAGCAGTTTAACAAAAGCTATGTTGGATAGCTTTTATATTTTGGCTACATTTTAGTTTCATAACTTTCTGTCAACAATAATCTGGTGTTCATATATTAGATGGGGATCAAAGTGCACATAGTTTTCAGTCACATTAAGTGAAGTCTATTTATTTCGAGAGGATCACATGCTTATGATGGAACACAGCTGGTCATGCGTTAGCCAATTCATGATTCACCAATCAGACGATTCCTAAGCCACTATAAATACCCTAAGTTTCATATAACAGCCATCTTTGTTTTGAAGAATCCCCCCTTTTACCCATACTTCTTTCCTAGATGGGTGGCACTGCTACCCAGTGGTTAGCACTGTTGCCTCACAGCAAGAACGTCACAGGTTCTGGTAATTATCAAGCCAGCCAACATTTCTGTGCAGATCTTACACGTTCTCCCCGTGCTCACGTGGGTTTCCCCCGAGTTCCTCTCACCGTCTAAAAACATGCAACTTAAGTTTATTGACTATCCAAATCGGCACCTTAGACATGCTAATAGTAAGTATTTTTCTTTTAAGAGCAACCACTTTCTGTTCATTAGCTTCTACAGCAGAGAAGTTTTGAGATCTACCTTAGCTCAAACTCCTCTCTCGCCTTGCACACTGGAGGGAGCCCCGGGTTCGAGCATCTTATGAGCTCAGGGCTCTCTCCTGAGACAGCATGCCAAACAAGCTTTATAAGCAATCATCAGTTAAGTGTGAACTCTTGAAAGAACAGATGACCTGTCAAGCTATAGGCAATGAACATTTTCACCCATATTTCATCGACTAAATTAGCACTGCTATTATTTCATTTAATTTTCTTGTCGGCTTAGTCCCTTTATTAATCCGGGGTCGCCACAGCGGAATGAAACACCAACTTATTCAGCAAGATTTATTGCAGCAGATGCCTTTCCAGCTGCAACCCATCTCTGGGAAACATCCACACACACACTATGGACAATTTAGCCTTCCCAATTCATCTGTACCACATATCTTTGGACTGTAGGGGAAACTGGAGCACCCGGAGGAAACCCACGCGAAGGCAGGGAGAACATGCAAACTCCACACAGAAACGCTAACTGATCCGAGGTTCGAACCAGTGACCTTCTTGCTGTGAGGTGACAGCATTACCTACTGCGCCACTGTCTCACCCCACTGCTATTATTTACAAATAAAATACAATGTTAGGACTTATAGCTATATTCCTCTTTAATACACTTTTTGATATCTTACCTAACAATGATACTTAATACTTCATCCAGTAGAAAACTAGATTTAAGCCCTTCCAGCTGCAACCCAGTACTGAAAAACACCTGTACGCTCCTGCATTCACACACATACACATTTATTGATCGCTCAGTGTCATCTACCAAACTATTTTTGATTCATGTTTTAAATACACCTTGATACCTGCTCTTTGGGCCTTTTGCTCATTTGCTCTGCACTTTATGGCTTTATTCTGTCTAAAACGATTTATTTTTGTTTAATAAATAAATATTTTAATAAGTATGATATATAAAAATGTATTTTCTGTTCAAATAAAATCCTTGTTTTCGTGTGCATCAATGCTACGTTCCATGTGTGAATTTTTTTTTTACGTAGGCAGACATATGATTTGAGTATAAGTCAAATACTGACAAGATTTGTACATTTAAATTCGACTGAATCAAATCCAGCCCTGCAAAATACACACAGCCTTTAAAAAGAGGAAAACACTATTAAAATATACTCAATGAAATGCAATACCTAAAGGTCCTGTGCAATTAAAATAATGTATTTTAGATGTTCTACTGTAATAGAAAACTAGGACACAATTCACAATTAGAAAATGTAAACCTGAAATCAACGTACAAAGCTTGCACTTAGTCGCTTTTGCCTTAACAGATCAACTAATTTTTTGACGTCACCTCATACTTCAGTTTCTCATCAAATCTTCAGACCAATCAAATGCTCTAGTGTCTGACATGCCCCGCCCCTCTTAAGACGCTTCACATTTGTTTTTAATTTGACACACTTGAGCTCAACCGCTCTCACTGGAAGAGCTGTGAGAATGTAGTTGATTTTTGAAAGAGCGATGAGAAAAAGTGGAGTTTAAGAGTGAGGAACTACTTTTTCAGTTGAGATTACACCTAACATTGAATAAAAATACACATTTTAAAACACTTTACAGAACATTATTAACAAATAAATGATACATAAGGTAATTAAAGTGTTGCAGGAATAACAATATTAAAGATCGATGTTCAAAATCTTTAGATGTTAAACATGTTATGAAGACTGAAGTTTAATCCTCTACTCTGACTTTCCTCTTCAGAAGATTGAACTGTAAAATAAACAAAACACTTATGTTCTGTTTGGAGAAATCAGAGTTTGAGAGACGGATCAGACAGAAGTTTTACCTCTCGCTTTGTAGATTTTGTAGAGCAGCACGACTGTCGCTGACAGATACGGACAAACAGCCAGAAGAAAAACGACAATCTTACAGGCAGAAATCTGAGCAGGTGAATCTGATGCTGAAAATAGAAACACAAACACATCCCTGAACAATATAGCTCTATATTAAAGACACGTAGGAGATTAAAATAATACACTGACAACAAAGAGCCAATAATCAAGTGTCTTATACAATAAACAGATGAGGAAAATTCAGTGAGAGTTTCAGAACTGCAGTGAGTCTCACCTCTGACTGAGATCCAGCTGTGCGGCGACTCTCCTCTCTCTGTTTTACAGTAGTAGAAACCCTCATCAGACTTTGAGACAGTAGGGATCCTCATCTCTCCTGTCTGATTCTGGATCAGTGATCCGTCTTTATAGAAATCAGCTGTGAGGATGGAGGAGTTTGTAGATCGATGTAAACAGTGTAGAGTCAGAGTTTCTCCCTCAATCACAGGATCAGCAGAACTCTCCAGAATCACAGCACCATCTACACAACACAACACAACACAACACAACACAGCACAACACAACACAGCACAGCACAGCACAGCACAACACAACACAACACAACACAACACAACACAACACACATCTGTTTAGTCTCAAAATATGAGTAAACTATTCATATCAACAGTATCATGAATGTATAACCTTCTTGAGCCTCACATACAACAGTTATAAATTCATTTTAGTTGTAGTCAGATTTTTAACCAATGACAAAATAATAATCAGGTTAATACGTCAGCCTGTGATTGGCTGTACAGAAGACAATGGTATAGGAATGTTAATGTGTGTGTATGCTGTGATCTCAGTAACAGGACTCACCATGTACAGTGATGTTCAGAGGATGGCGTTTCTCTCCAGATTCAGACTCACACCAGTAAACTCCAGTGTCAGATGTGCTGAGAGACTGGATTCCACATGTAGATCCTGTTTGTGCTGAACAATCTTGTGTGTTTGTGTGTGTGTATCTTCTCACTGTCCATCCAGCAGAGTCACAGCTCAGAGAGAGAGAGTCAGAGGAGAAGTGTTGACTTCTGCTGGGCCTGAGCACCAGACGCACTGAAGCAGAAACACCTGAGACAGAGAGCAAACGCAGACAAATATACTGCTGCTGTCACTGACATAAACCTACTGGCACATTCGAGATCAACAACAGCTCTGACAGCTGCTGAAAGCTGATTTCCCTCACCAGTGACCCACAGTGGCTGTGCGCTGCTGTTCTGTGAGGAATAGGCTGGTTCTCCTCTCTCTGCTCTGCAGGTATAAACTCCTGTGTGCTGTAGAGCAGCAGGACTGAGAGTGTAAGAGCCTCCAGCTCCTCTGCTGCTGTCTGACAGATGATCAGCATCTCTGAACCAGCTGAACGTCCAGCCTGTAGAGGAGCCTGGAACCTCACAGATCAGAGTCACCGAGTGTCCTTCAGTGAGCCACGGCTGTGGAGACACTCGCACTGCTGCCTGAGCTTCATCTGAACCAAACATGAGGAGTTACAGAGCCATAGAGGAGCAGATACAGACTCTGATAATACTGAACACACACACACACACACACTCACCTGAAGACACAGTCAGAGCAACAGCATCACTGCGCTGAGAGATCTGAGTGTTCATCTGTCCTGTACAGCTGTATTTACCACTTTGAAAGACCTCAACACGGCTGATCTTCAACTCTTGTGCTGAGCACCGGCTCACAGTGTTTTTATGTTGGTTATACTGGTTGTAGTGGTTATCTTGGTCTGTTTGCTCTATTTGCCATCTGTATGTCCACTCTGTGTGTCCTCTCCACTTTATATCACATCTGAGAGTGACTGTTTCCCCTTTGAACACATGTTCATCTGGCCATGCCGTCACCACAGCTTTAGGACTTTCTGTACAAACAGTTTAGTGTTTAGTTTTAATTCAGAATTTTAGGTACAGGCTCATTAGGAAAATGTGCCTAGGGCTACAGTTTTGAGAACCAAGAAATATGTGTTGTGGGTACATATGGCTGCAGTTTATTGTGTTTAGTCTTGATTGAGAGTTGTAGAAGTGCTGTAGATGTACAGATATACTGAATCACACTGTGTTTTCTCTCACCTGTAACATTGAGTGTCAGTTCATCACTGTATTGTGTGTAATAGACTGGTTCTCCTCTTCCAGCTCTACACCAGTACTGGCCTCCATCAGACACTGAATCAATCTTCATGCTGTAGGAGTGTGTTCTTGTCATCTTTATCTCAGAGTCGAGTGTGTTTTTGTACCAGTAGAAGTCCCATCCGGTAGACGAAGTGTTACAGGTCAAAGTCACTGTGTTTCCAGTCAGTGCAGCTCCTGCAGGATCTGATCTGAGTTTAGCCTTTGGTTTTAAGTCTGCATAAAAACAAGAATAGATTCAATCCTGACATATTAAAAAAGGATTGCTCTTCAGAGGATAAAAACACAGGTAGCTGGTGCTAAATCTGTTGGAAGACTATCCATGTGAGAAGTGAAATAAAGCTTTCTGCCACTGTTGGCTCTTTTGAAAAAAAAAAAAAAAAAAAAAAAACATGTGAATGGCTTGCGATTGGATGTGTGATTATACATAGAGTACATGTAGTAGATTGAGTTTAGGAGGAAAATATATATTAAACTCACCTTTCACTAAGAAAGAAGCAGCAGATGATTGAGTTGAGACTGATCTTCCATCTATGAGTCCTCTACACCAGTACTGACCCTGATCAGACTCAGCAGCTCCTCTGATAGTGAGAGTGTCTCTGTTTACAGTGTAATGACCATCAGACTGTAACTTTACACTGTTCCTATCTTTATACCACTCATATGTCCAGTCGCTATGATCAGACTCAATCACACACTTCAGATTGACTGTCTCTCCAGTGAATACAGCACTGTCTGGTGTCACAGTCACTGTAGGTATGGGTATAGCTGAGAAGGAAGACAGAAACAAAGTGACTCAAATGGCTCCCATACATACACAAAGGCCCTCTGCTGTGAGTAAAGGACTCTGTTATCATAAGGTTAATTTAATGTTTACATCTATCACATTTAGCCATAAATACAATTTGTCCACAAAGCAACCATTGGATCATCAACCCAATACCTTTTAGACTTTCACCTTTACTGTTTCCTGCTGGAATAACTTGCCTAAATCAATAAAAGTTGATGAATCTGTTGCCACAGTACCGATATGGCCAACCCAGGCTCATTCTGAAAACATACCTCTACAGACATTTCTGGAGACCGCGAAATACGTCCCGGCAACATGTTTTTCTGCAGTTTTTGTTTTAACAAATCCAGGAGAGGCCGTTGTGTACGCTTTTCGAGATCTCAAATGTGCCTGCTGTTCTTGTGTAAACCCACTAGAGGCCGCTGTTGACTGACTTTTTGACTGACTGAGTGAACGATCGACTGACCCACCCTCCCACTTCCCTAAACTCAACCAACACGTTTCAAAAGCCATCCAGAAAAAGAAAAGCCCTCGTCTGATTTTTTACCACGTTTTCAGATACATTGTCACCCTGTTATTTACTTGTTTATTTTATTTTTTAGATTCTGTTTTTGTTTTATTTTCTTCCTGGATTCGTTCTTCACCAGACTCAAACCCCATTGTCGTGGTCAACTCCTCTCTCTGCGTCACAAGTCCGCAGATGTACATGTCGAGCTAACGGACAAACTGGTTGCAGCCGGAATGCCGTCCACATGGAGGTAAGCGGTCAGCTGGTTAGCGCGAAAAGGAATGGCGTCAAACCGCCCCTTAGTGTTCATTTAAAAAAAATTAAATGCAGCCATACGTGCCTCTGGCTACATAATTCGCGGTCTCCAGAAACGTCTGTATGGCTACGTTTTTAGACTGAGTCTATGTTGCATATGGCCTATACGCAGATTGCACAAGATGCGTGAAGCACAGCAAGGTGCAACATTTCTTTTGTCTTTGCCATGATGACAGTACATAATATTCATTTATTCCTTTTCTAACGCTTAGTCTCTCATTTATTAGGGGTCGCCACAGCAGATTGAACTGCCAGTACATACTATTTTACAAGCTATTTCGCAAGAAACTAGTATTCAAATGCACTTGAAAGGCTTAACTAGGTGAACTAGGAAAGTTAGCTTAATTTATATTTAGGCTAGTCATTGGACAACAGTGGTTTGTTTTGTAGCCAATCGAAAAAAAAAAAGTCATTCTAAAGGGGGCTAATAATATTGACCACAGTCGTTTTTGACCAAGTACAAGAGAGCTGTGTAATGACATTAAATGTAAAGCAGATTTCTCTTATAGGAATTTATTTTTCCAGCTAGTAACTGGACTCTAATCACCAAATGATTTAATGGCTTCTTACAAAATGATTTACAAACACAAATATGGAAACAGCCAGAACACATTAAATACAGTGACATAATGAGTAAGCAGTGTGACAGCACCTAATTTTGAACAAAAACAAACTGCTGGATGTGTGATTTTTGAGTTCGGGAAGACAATAACATTCAACTTACCCCTTACTGAGAGAGAAACAGCAGATGATTGTGTTAAGAATGATCTGATGAGTCCTTTACACCTGTACTGACCCTGATCAGACTCAGCAGCTTTAGTGATAGTGAGTGTGTCTCTGTTTACAGTGTAATGATCATCAGACTGTAACTTTACATTGATTGAGTCATTATACCACTCATATGTCCAGTCACTGTGATCAGACTCAATCACACACTTCAGCTTGACTGTCTCGCCAGTGAATACAGGACTATCTGGTGTCACAGTCACTGAAGATCTGGGTAAAGCTGAGGAGAAAGACAGAAACATTAAGTGACTCAAACAGCTCTTTATTAAAGTAAAATACTATGTTTTGTAAAGTTTGTACATCTATACAGAACTTCAACAGGCTGTCTGAAGACCTAACTCATTCACTATTATCTGTAAGTCACAGTATTCTCTTTGACGTTTTCAATGAAACATCCCTCAAGGTTATTTTTATTTTAGTTCTGAACTCTTCACAACTAAATATAAATCACTTCACACCTAATAATGCACAGCACTATCAGATTCAACATGCACAGACAAACAGATATTACATGATTGTAGTTATTTAAATGTGAAGCCTCACCTGATGCGCTCAGTGTAACAGCATCACTGATGTCTGATCTCTGTGAGTCTGATCTCTCTCCTCTACAGCTGTATTGACCACTGACAGACACAGAATCAGCTCTGAAACTCAACCCTGCTGCTGATGTTGTTCTGTGTGGATTGTGAGTGTCTCCATTTTTAAACCAGCAGTATTTGACCCACTGAATGTGTCCTCCTGTCTGTATGTCACATGTGAGAGTGACTCTCTCTCCAATGAACACTTGCTCATCTGGACTCACCTTCACTACAGGCTTTGGTCTCTCTGCATTAATACACACGAGGACATATTGATGAAAACAACTCAAAATGTCATTGTAAGTAAAATATCTCGAGAATTTCTAAAAACCAACATTGGTTGCAAAAAGTGATACATTCACACCATCAAAAACAAACAAACAAACAAACAAACAAACAAACAAACAAACAAACAAACAAACACAATTATATGTGGTGTAAGTGTGTTTAGATTCTTGGTGGAAATATTGCCACACATTAGCATTTCAGTATTGAGGCCACATTAAAGTATGCTATAATTACATACTGAGTGTAAATGAGAGTATTTATCACATAAATGCTGCCTTATTGGCACAATAAATGCTTTCCTACACCTAACCATAACCAGAAACCTTCCTATTTATTTTTTACCCAACAAGTTTAGCATTGTTGTATAATTCACACCAAACATGGCTTGGACAAATAAATCATGCTATTTTCGCAAGATTAGATGATTGAACATTTTTAGTTTACTCCATGTGTAAAATTCACTTCCCAATAGTTGCGGATTCACGTCATAGGCAGGGCTTCTTTATGCCTGGTGACTTTAGTTTCATTGCTAAATGGCTAACATGGATTTTATTGAGAGAGTAGCTTGGCTTTATGTGCTTTAAGCATAATTTAAGCATCAGATCCTTCAGAGGTGCACCCAGCTTTGCGAGTTTATCAGCTCCACTAGAAGCCGTTCCTGGATGACGAGCACTTTCAGCTGTACTTTCAGTGGGGCTGAGCCCAGTTTGAACAGCTGTTTCTCCTCAGGAGATCAACAACAGGTGCTACATCATAATCACTCCCCCTACTAGAGGATGCTCCTGATTGGTTAACGCAGCGCAAATGTCCGCCAAAGTTTAGATTTTCAACTCAAGCAATTCACACAATCACACCTTAAATGTGTCAAATACCTGAAACTCTTAATGTATGCCATGCTGTTTGCTCAACTCGCTTTATTGCATCACTCGCGCATCCTCATTTACACAAATAATGCCAAAGGATATCTAATTGTGTCTTTGCATTGACATAACATCACTCACACTTGATGCTTCATCAAAACAGCTGAATGGAGCGTACACTAACCTAAGTAATATTCAGTCACAAGAGGATGCCAAAACTTCAAAAACAGCAGGATAGCAGACAAGAATATAAAAATTCTCGTTGATGTATGTATAGAAACGTGAATGTATTCACCAATGGTTAAGACGATTCATAGTACACAGAAGAGCCTTTGTTATTAGCTCCAGCAGCTGATATCTTGAAATAACATACATACCTTGGAATAAAACCAATCGGAACAGAGTATTCTAGAGAAACGTGTAATGCCATTGAATAAAAAGCTAAATTCTCTAATTGACATTTGTTTTTCAAGCAAATATCTGAAGTCTAATCACCAAATTATTATACAGGCTGTGTGACAACAATGCTAAATCTTGTTTATTATTACTAAAAGGTATTAAAACAATATTAAAACAGCCAGAGCACATTAAATACTGTGGTGCATTCACTAAGCAGTAAGACATCACTTAATTCTGAAAAAACTACATTCTGTCTGCTGGATGTGTGATATTTGAGTGTGGGAAAAATAATAATATTCAACTCACCCATCACTGAGAGAGAAACAGCAGAGCTTGATTGTGATGAGTTTGGTCTTCCAGATCTCTGTCCTTTACACTGGTACTGACCCTGATCAGACTCAGCAGCTCCTCTGATAGTGAGAGTGTCTCTGTTTACAGTGTAACGACCATCAGACTGTAACTTTACACTGTTTCTGTCTTTATACCACTCATATGTCCAGTCACTGTAAGACTCAATCACACACTTCAGATTGACTGTCTCTCCAGTGAATACAGCACTGGCTGGTGTCACAGTCACTGTAGATCTGGGTAAAGCTGAGGAGGAAGACAGAAACAAAGTAAATAATACAAACAAACAAATAAATAAATAAATAAATAAATAAATAAATAATATCTGTATGCCCCTAAAAACTAAAATGATGTGCATTGCAGTTGATAATTAAGGTGCAGATCAGCATCTGTGAATGATTCCTTTAGGAAGGCTCTTGTAGGCTGAGTCAAACATGATAACTGAGACATTTTTTAAATAAGTGACCAATGTTTTTGTCCTTTAGTACCCAAGTTTGCTGTTAATATAAATGTGGATGTAAAAACAGTTATAATTGGTCATCTTTATAATAAGTGTGGAATAGTTATGCTGACTCATTTGGTACTGGTTAAACCGTAGCATCTGCACTGCACAAAAATCTAAAATAAATAATTTAGAGCATTCACACTTAGCTGATGATTAATTATAAAGCATGTTTGGCATGCTGTCCTGGGAGAGAGCCTTGAGTTTAGATGATCATCGAGCCCGGGGCTCCTTGTGTTTGCAGGGAGTGGAGTTTGAGCTTAGATCTTGAGAATTCCCTGGCTTATTTATGGCTAATGACAAATTAGGGATTGCTTTGAAGAGATACACTGCTGACTAAGAGCTCATCTATGATGCCAATTTGGTTTAGTCAATTTACTTATGTCGCATTTCTTTGTACAGTGGGAGGAAACCAAGGAACCCGGAGGAAACCCAAGCGAGCACAGGGAGAACATGTAACCTCGGCACATAAATTTCGTACTATATGTTAGTACTATACTAACCACTAGGAAAAGAGGAAGGAATTGGGGTGGAAGAGGGTATTCTTCAAGACGAAGATAATCAAGGCAAGAAATCCTGTGATCCTCTCAAAATTAGTTGATAAACTTCACTTTATGTTAATGAACAATTATTGTTAATGTTAATAAACCATTTCACAATTAACAATTGATTTCAGGTTATTTATGATTATGAATCGCATTATAGGACCTTGATCTCTGCTCTGTCAACTTACAATGTTGGAAAATTTAAGTTTTGGGTTTACAAAACCAAACAAATCCAATCAGATTGGTTATGATCAGATTAAAGTGTCCACTTCCAGCGGAGCATCTGAATGGGTTCACATGGGATGCCCTAAACCAGGGGTGACCAACCCTGATCCTGGAGATCTACCTTCCAGCAGATTTCAGTTTCAATACATATCAAACACAGCTGCCTTTAATTCTCAAGTGACACGTCACTTTTTATTTAATTGGTTCAGGTGTGTTTGATCAGGGCTGGAGCTGAACTCTACAGGAAAGTAACACCCAAGGTTGAGCACCCCTGCCCTGAACCCTTGAGCACTTGGGAACTAAACTGTTGTGACGTCACAGTAGCGTTGAATTTTGGGACATATAGCTGCTGTAGTGGACATATGAAGCCAACTTCCTACCTCTGTCAAAATGGTATGCCCATGTAAGCTTCCCTTGTTCACTTAAATAAGTGGAACAAACTTCAAAATGGCATGGGGATTCCCCAGAGGGAACAAAGAAAGAAAAGTTTGCAAGTGCATTAGAGCTGAAGATCTTTGGCCACTCATACACTGCATATTACGGTAGAGCCAAGTGACAGGGAAGATATTGCTACATTGAAACGCTGTCAAGGAAAATGAAGTGGATGTTCCTGGCTGGTAGAAAATAAACAAATAATCGCACCCAAAAATTAGCCTGATCAGATCTATAATAATGATGAGATAATCATTTTTAACTCACCTTTCACGGTGAGATTAACAAAGCTTGAATTTGATGAGACTGATCTTCCATAAATGAGTCCTCTACACCAGTACTGACCCTGATAATACTCAGTAGCCCATCTGATAGTGAGAATGTCTCCGTGTTCACCGGGTAACATCACTTCGTAACCATATCCCCTGATTGTATACCACTCATATGTCCAGTCACGGTGATCAGACTCAATCACACACTTCAGATTGACTGTCTCTCCAGTGAATACAGCATCGGCTGGTGTCACAGTCATTGTAGCTCTGAGAGGGTCTGTGAATAAAAACAAACGTCATTATTGTCTTACACGTTGTAAACAGAACCAATTAATAAATAAGTTAAATGGTGTATGCTGCACACTGGTGGAGGTGTGGAGAGACCAAGCACATGATTGTAAAGTGCTTTGGGTGTATGGTCATCCATGATGAAAGCACTTTATAAATACACATTACATATATATATATATATATATATATACATATATATACATATATATATATATATATACATATATATACATATATATATATATATATATATACATATATATACATATATATATATATATATATACATATATATACATATATATATATATATATATACATATATATATATACATATATATACATATATATATATACATATATATACATATATATACATATATATACATATATATACATATATATATATATATATATATATTAGTTGATTATTGCTATTTATTATTTAACTGCTATTAAAATGTATTATTAAGTAGCCTAATCCTCTCTTCTTACAACTTATTAAGTTAAAATAAATAGTCATGCGCGTAGCCAAAGGGGGTCAGGTGGTTGAAAGAACAAAAGATGGATTATTATTATAATGTTTGAATTTATCTTATTATTCAAATTGCCAAATTGTCACTGAGGAAGGTTGAATGCGCTGGCCAGTTTGTTATTTGCCTAAAGGCTTCAGTTTTTAATTTAAATCAAGTTGAAACAGATTTAACAGATGATAAAAAAATGTATTTTAAAAATAAGTATATTTTCATATTTGAAGTGTTTAGATGCAAAAACCTTTAAATGCTATTTAATATTTTCTTCTAAAAATTGCATTTTTCTCCAACTCCTGTGTGTGGACTCAGTGATTTAACTTTTATAGTGACAAATACATTAATTTTTATTGTCTTTAATGTGAAATAACTGAACATAAATATATAAGAGGCTGAGAAAAATCTGAACTCTTCATTTCTTTATTCTAAGAATTTAAATTTCTAATTTCTAATTCAAAGTATTTTTATTATTTATAAAACTGTAATAAAACTTAGTTTAAATGTGTAAATAAAGCAATTTGACAAAATGGTAGGACATATTTTTGGTACATCAAAAAGTGTAGTTATAATAACCATCCAACAAGATTATCCAGCAAAAAATAGTTCTTAATATGTCACTAAAAATGTAATATTTATACCTCAATTAAACAGAATGAACAATTAATCAGGTGAATAACTGCAAAAAAGTTCAGTTTTTTTCAGAAATCAAATCCCTCCTTTCAATAAGCTGGCTACAGGCCTGAAAGTGTCATTTTAAAATAATGTTTATTAACTGATAAAGAGAGAGTTTCATGAAGACTTTTGTTTATTTTTCGTACAAATTAAACATGTCTCATAGTATTATTAAAAGATGGAGCACAGGCTGTAGTTTTTCTGACAAATTGTTTTAATTAAATTAAATAATTAAATTGAATTAAATTATTGGTGGGGACATTTCAGTAGTTGGTGAATATTGGAGGGGACACGTCCCCACCGTCCACCCTAAATCTACACCCCTGTAATGAACCTTATAAAGTTGAAAAAAAGTCACATCAACCTTTCTCCAGGAGTTTATCGGAGGCTTAAAAAACACTATGCATAAAGCTCATTCTGAACAAAACCACTGGAATATGTGATTACACACTGTATATGAAGACAATATTATTGAACTCACCTTTCACTGTGAGATTAACAGAGCTTGAATTTGATGAGACCGATCTTCCATATACGAGTCCTCTACACCAGTACTGACTCTGATCAGACCAGTCAGCTCCTCTGATAGTGAGAGTGTCTCCGGTTACATTGTGATGATATGATGTGTTTAACATTACTCTGCTGTTTGGGCTGTCTTTATACCACTCATATATCCAGTTACTGTGATCAGACTCAATCACACACCTCAGCTTGACTGTCTCTCCAAGGAACACAGCACTGTCTGGTGTCACAGTCACTGTTGGTGTAGGTAGAGCTGTGGAAAAACCCAACCATCACAGTAAGCATGAATTACAAGACATTATAACAGATGTATGTGGTTACAATGGCTGTTTCTCAATATGCGATCTTAAGTGATCTTGTGTCCCCTTGTGTTCTCATTCTCATGTTTTCCCCCATTTATTTATGCTTTTGAATAGCATAAAAAACCTTGATTGTTCTTTCAACAACTTTAAAAATAACATTGAAAAGTTGACTTATTAACATTTTTAATAGTTTAAAGTGTTATATCTGGGTTGGTGTTGTATATTACGCTACAAAAAGCCTTGTAATATTTTAATAATAATATTTTACAGACTTATTTCTCACTTTATTATTTTGTATACATTATATTCATTTAAATTATTCTAATGTCAATTAAAGTCTCTTTGTTAAACTGTTGAGTTGTATTTTTAACACCAAAAGATGACAGAGCAGAGATCAACATCCCATAATGCAATTCACAACCAGAAATAAACACAAAAACACTTGTGAAATCACAAAATACGGATACGTTCATTAACAGATTTTTTTACAGAGCAGCACCTCTGCAAAAAGATCCATCTGTGTATTCTCACTTATGCCTCCTCTCTCCTCAATCTTAGCGATGCAATTAGAGGACTGAGATGTCCTTCAAGATGGCTGAGTTCAATAGGGTATATGCGGAAGTATGTGGAAGGATTTTTAGTAATTCAGTAACCTGCAGTAATCAAGCGCTTCCGGTGTACTGTATGCCGTTACAAAATTTTGTTTTGCGTTTAAGGTCTGTTTTCTTTAAAAATGAATAATCTTTACTGCCTGATAGATATACGATATAAAATAGGTCTCACACTAGACAAGAAGCACTGCATTAAATTACATTTTCCCCCATCATGCGCTTAAAATATAGTTTATTTGTATTTTCAATGGAGTTTCTGCGCTCCCCTGCTGATCCTGATGGGCACATACGTGTAAACGGCTTTTAATCTTGTTTTACAGTTAAACAACTAAATGAATGCTGAAGTCGATTTAACTCGTTGTATTTTAATTACATTACAACATCGATGAGGAACCTTTTAAAATTGAAAATAGTCAGATTAATTGTGTTTACCAGTACGGGAAGAAACATTTTTGACAGTCCATGCGCAGAGCGTAAAACGCAGGGCGCAAACGCTTTCAGGGCGTGTCAGGACGCGTTTTTGCTAATTTAAGGATGGGAAATCTGCCTTGCGCCAAGGCGCATGGTCTAAAAGGGTTGAGTTTATTTTCTTAATGAGTTATAGGTGTGTTTTGAGAATAAACCAATTAGAGTCTCATCTCCCATTACCTTTAAGACCCAGCTGCGTCGCGCCAAGAGCGCATTCACTATTTACAGGACGCAAAGTAAGTCTAAGTGGAAAAACTGAGCATTTCACAAGCAAACAGTTAACAGTTTTTTTTAACAGAAAACTGTTAAACAGAGCAACTACTGCGTGTCACGTTAGCGTGATCAAAACAGGAACAAAAAAGGTGTGGATCCAAGTGCAGATTTAATATTAAATAACAGTGGTAACAGTAAACAAAATCCAAAGTAACAAAATAACATACAAACAACAAAACAAGAAACTAAAACCGATTAAACACGAACTAGACTTAAGCAAGATACAAGAGCGAGATCAATAACAACATACAAGAGCGAGATCAATAACAACATACCAGAGCTGACAAGATAGGCAAACAACACAGTAACAAACAGAGGTGGAATGGTGGAATATATAGTCCAGGTAATCAACGGAGATAGGAGACAGCTGTGGTTGAAATCAGTGTAAATGACAGACCGGGTGTGTGCACGAAAGAATGTATGGAAATGTAGTCTTTTTGGGCGCTGTAGTTTCACTCAATGTCCATTGAACTACAGCGCCCTCAGGTGGTCACTGACAGATGTGACACTGCGTGAGAATGAGAGATAAATGATCTACTATCACTTTCGCTCTTGGATAGGGAAACCTTTACGCACAGACATCAATTAGCCTATAAATAATTAATTTAGTTTGTTAAGCGCAAAGATTTGTTTCAAAACTATTTCTAAATTCAGTTCTAATTTCTAGCAAACGAATAAATGAACAATAATAACCAAGTGTGGTCAAAATACTGAGTTATTTCCAAAAACACCCGCCATGCCACATATGGTCTTAAACCTGACAGGTGTGCAAATCTAAGCTTGTTTTTAACAAAACAAATATAAATATGGATATAATAAATAATACAGCTAATAATAATAACATTAAACAAAAGCAAATTGTTATGAATGAACTGAAAAAGCCTCCCGAGATGAAGAAGACATAAAAGCAGTTGTTTTTCATATTTATGTAGGCTAGAAAATAATATGTTTTGTAATATTTTAATCCTTTATATTTATATTCTATATCTATTCTTATTATATCCTATATATATCCTTAATATTAAATTTTTTCATATGTAAAGATATTTGCCTATTGCTCTCTTGTGCGTATTAAGCAGTGTGTAAGCGAGGCGCAACTCTGCGCCGGAGTTTAGACCGAGTTAGTTTTGGTCTAATGAAAAATCTATTATAGTTTCTCAAAATAGCGACGCGCTAGCGGTCCGCTTCAGAACGCCTTCCTGTTTAGATCAGAACGCCTTTGGGCGCACATATGAGCGCTAATGCATTTGCTATTTAAACAGCGTAGCGCAACGCCTCAAAATGACTCTTGCGCCAAGCTGAAACTACCAAAAGACTATTGCGCCGCGTCTTGCGCCCCACTGCGTCGGGTGTATGATAGGGCCCTAGGTGTGCATATACCCTATTGGTTTCTGGTTCATATAGGACGGTGGACAGAGGAGCAAGGAAGGATATTGAGAAGCACCCTATGTAAGGTTCCCTTCTT